TCTCACCAACTAGAAGAGCTTACTTTAAGCTGCTTACATGATCAACTAGGGAATGTATCTGGCTTTCTGGGAAATTAGGTCAAATTTTTATCTAGGTCAAAGGTCAAGAACTAGGTCAAATCCAGTACTTTGTCACTTTTTTCAATTTTCTCGGTCGTCCTTCAATATTTTCAATCCGGGTTTTTTTCATTGTGTTCCTCATAAAAAAGTAGGGGAAAACAGGTCGATTTAGTTTTTTGATATCTCAAACCGATTTCGAGATATCAGTGTCCGAAAACGAGGTCCAAAAAAAAGTTCTCCCAATTCAATGTCCACGCTACTGGTCTTGTAGGAACTTTTCTCAGGATTCCGAATCTGAAAACCAAATTTCGATCCGACTTCCGGTTCGGAAGTTATATCGTTTTGAAAGCTCAAAAATCGCTAAATTTGGTGCCCATGTTAAGTCAATGGGAAAAAAGATTTTTTTGAAGTGAAAAATACGAAATATAGACTGAGTTCAGCTAAATATAATGGAAGCTTTTAAAAGAAGGGGACCTCAAAAGCCATCTAGCTTAAAAATTTGGACACAAAAATGCCAAGGTCAAAATCTAGGTCAAATTCAAAGTTTTTCCTTATTTTTGCGATTCTGACACTACACTTTAATTATATTCTTCGAAATCGTGTATACATGTAGCCAAGAGTGTGCTAATAGTGTTAGCCTTTTGCCGTCAGGAAGTATTTTGACCCACTTTTGAGATATGGTGTCCCAAAAGTAGGTCAAAATAAAAAAATCTTCAAATTTAACTTATGAGTTATGAATCAGGGGTAGAATTTTGTCAGGAATCCGAATCTGCAAACCATATTTCGATCCGACTTCCGGTTCGGAAGTTATGGCGTGTCCAAAAAGTAGGTCAAAATAAAAAAATTCTAAATTTATCGTATGAGTTATGAATTAGGGGAAGAATTTTATCAGGAATCCGAATCTGCAAACCAAATTTCGATTCGACATCTTGTTCAGAAGTTATGATGTTTTGAAAGCTCAAAAATCGCTAAATTTGGTGCCCCATGTTAAATCAATGGGACCGAATAATTTTTTGAAGTGTAAAAATACAAGATATAGAATGAGTACAGCTAAACATAATGAAAGCCCATAAAAGAAGGGGACCTCAAAACCTACTTTCCTTCAAAATTTGGACACCAAAATACCTAGTTCAAAATCTAGGTCAAATTCTTAGTTTTTTCTTATTTTTGCAATTCGGACACTACACTTCAATGATATTCTTCGAAATTTTGTATACATGTAGCAAAGAGTGTGCTTATAATGTTAACTTTTTGCCGTCAAGAAGTTTTTAGGCCCACTTTTGAGATCTGGTGATCGAAATGTAGGTCAAAATAAAAAGTTCTCCAAATTTAACGTATGAGTTATGAATTAGGGGCATAATTTCCTAAGGAATCCGGATCTGAAATTAAAATTGCAATCCTACCCCCAGTTAAGCCATTTTGAAGTTTGAAATTCGCACTTGCCAGTATTCACGATGCAGATTGATCAAATAAACTTTCAAAAATTCCTACATACCCTACTTTACCTCCCTACCTACTCAGCTACTTATTTGACTACTTACTCAATTGCTTAATTAGTTATTACTTACTTAGCTACTCACTCAGCTACTAACTCAGGTACTTACTCAGCTACTTACTCAGCTACCTACTCAGCTTTTTACCCAGTTACTTACTCAGCTACTTACTCAACTACTACTAAGGTACTTACTCAGCTAATTACTCAGTTACTTACTCAGCTCTTTACTGATCTATCTAGGTAAAATAAATCTGGAGTCTTAAATTGAACTTGTTCAATTTCACAAATCTAGTTAAGTTTGCAATCGATTCAGGTCATAGTGTATTTTTGGTATTTCTGTGATAATCAATGGAAACCAATGGCCTCTATTGGGATCTGCTGATATCCTCATGTGGAGTCAATGGTACACAGCCCCATGCAAGTCAATACAACCTTACTGGACGAAATGATCCCTATCTCAGCTTATGTGTGTCCGAGCACTTTAATATTTTCCAAAGTATTATATGACATTTTATTCTTCATGTTACACCTACGAATGATTCATTTTGACCATAGGGATATTTGCCAATAATTGCACATTGTCCTTTATTTCGTTCGTTGCGTATCTCGCTCCTAGCAAACTGCCATATTGGAAATGGGTCGAAAAATCATTCACTCGATGAACAATTTACAAGTCTTGATCGAAAAAGAAGTATTTCAGCGCTCCAATACTTGCACGGATTGATGATACTGATGTAAGACACAGTTAAAGACCAGTAAGCCGCTAATCTCATTATTCATGTTTTAAAGGTCACTATTATTCGACTGTCCAAGCGCGCCGTGGGAAAGCTATTATATAAAAGTCCACAGCTTTCGCAGGAAGTGATATTTACGATATTGTAATTGTACAAAGGAAAGTTTGGTTGATTTAAAAAAAGTATCGTGTTAATGAAATAAAAGGTTTATCTTAATTTTTATCTATTTTTTAAGTGTTTGCAAAATTTCCTTTGTAAAACTATAATATTGAGAGGTCTCACAAAATGTTGTATATGCTATTTTGTTCAAACAAGGTTCGGAAAGACATTATTTTTCAATAGGTGGAGATAATAGTAATTGACAAATATTTCTCTACACGTTGCCCCTTAAAATGAGATAATTGCATAGCATTGTATTCTTGGTATTGGTGCTAGTTTAGAAGGCTTTATAGACCGAAGAGCAGGTGCTATATCGACAAACACATCCCGCAGGGCTAGGCACAGACATTTTCTGTACCCCGAACGACCGAAGGGAAATGAATAAGTAATGCGCTCCATTGCTTTCAGCTTAATTTTGGTCACCCAAAATGGACATCTTTAGAACCCCTGAAGAAATGACTTATTCCTTTAAAGGGGTTAAGTGTGTCTCACAACACAACATATTGATGCAACAAAAAATGAGAAAGCAAGGGTAAAAGGGGTTGAAAATCAGGACAACATTTCAGAAAAAACATGTTGGTGGGTTGTTTGCATCTTCCCTGTTATATTCACCACTCTCTTCCTGTAAGAATGTCTGATAAGAAAAAGAATGATTAGATTTTTCGAATCACTTTCAGATTTACACTGGTCGAAACGAAACATATGGTGAATACTGAATAGGCCCGTTGAATACGCCTTTTTCTGACGTCTTATTTCTATGTCACGTGTTATGTGTAGACCAATGAGAGAGTGGAGAATATGACAGTGATATGATAATATGGTTTATTCATATTATGCTACTTACAATGCTAGTTACATTTCACAAGTCATGTGATACTATTTCATTTCAAGAATCGTATATTTTGTGCATTATCTTCCATTTATCTTGCATCCTTGCAAGTATGGTTCACCCTTTGGCTGATCTGGTCTATGGCCAGTACTGCAATAGGTCTATATAGGTCAGTCGGTCGGTCGGTTCATCGTTCTGTGGGTCGGTCGGCCAGCTGGTCAATCAGTCACTTGTTCGGCAGGTCAGTTAGTCATTCAGATATTTTTAGAAGGTCAGAGGTCAATTTGCAACCTTGACCTTAAATACTCTAATAAACAACAGTTCAGGCATTCATTATAAATCCAAACTAAAATGAATATAGTAAAATTGTTATAGTCATTCTCCTGTTACAATGTATGCATTGGGCATTGTATCCCCTTTTTCTGTTTCGTCTACGTCATGAACATCATCCGGTTGGTAAAAGTGATCAAAGTGCTAACAATTACGAAAACTTGAACTCTGGATTTATGAGATGTGAAAGTTTGTTTGTTATTTTTAGATTTTGTCGTTTATTTGTGTCACGAGGTGTTTATTCGTACAATGAGGCATGCAATTAATATCATGGATAAGCTCACAACAAACAATAAGTGTTTTACGAGTTGGGAAATAATTTACCCGTGTGACAATGTCCTGTTTTCTTGTTTTAAGTCTCTGTGCACATTAATACTATTAGCTTAGTGCTAATCTCATGCAGTAGAGTTCTAAAATACATTGTACAGAGTTTGTGTCAAACATAAAGGTCAGCTGTAAATCCAAATAACAGTACATGTACTGTATATACACTGTATGTTTGCTCAATCAGACCAGACATTATTGTAAAATACAAAATAAAAAAAGAAAGAGAAATCCTTGCAGGCAAGGTGTGAACAAAATATGTATTAGAGCTTTGAATGAACATTAAAGATAAATTATCGCCTTTGGTGTACTTTTCCCATGGTGTTTATAGCAATCAGTCGACTCCTTGGGCAAAAGTCAATACACGGGTGTCTGATCAGATAATAGGGAGTTAAAGCTTGCATATGAAATCGAAACGCCAACCTATACGTATGGCCAATCGCCCATACAAATGCATCGCTTACATATTTTTCCGTTCACGTTAAGGTTGTGAAAAACATTGCAAGGTTGAACTCCCTAATTAATGAATGAAACACAAAAGGCAGTACATGTCATTCCTATTTATGCTGTTCATAACTTAACTCATGCCTTGGTCACATTTGCTCCGATTTTCACTACGGCGACCGGCCGATTGAGTATTTTGTTCAAAATTGAATACAGTATTGAGCTAAACACTCAATCGGCCGGCGGCCGGCCGATTGTCATATCGTCATGGATCGGAGCAAATGTGACCCAAGCATAACAGTCGACTTTTGATACATGCATGTACATCTAATCAGATCATGAATGGATGGAATGCAAGCCTATGTATGACCGTCCAATGCTGTTCATAACTTAACTAAACAGTCTATGCATAGCATGTTGTTCATGATTCATCTAACAGTCGACGCATTGGTCAATATACAGCTATGTGAACAGGTAATGAATGAAGAAATTAAAACAGTCTATGCATATCATGTTGTCCATGATTCAGCTAACAGTCGACTCATTGGGCATTTCCTAGCTGCCTGATCAGGTAATGAATGAATAGAGTACAAAATCCTACGCTTTCCATTTTCAGGAGATTTGTCGCTCTTCCACTCCCAGAACCTGCAAAAATTTGAAATATATATATTTTTGATTGATGATACTGATTTCACCCCGGTGTGTTTAAAGATATCTTTGCATTGTCAAAGTTCTGATCCTTCCAACTACATTAAGATATTTCAAACATATACAGCACGTTAAATTGTATACCTTTGGCTGTTTCATCGTCAGGTATATTCGTGTAAGTTACTTTATCATTAGATGCCCCTGTGTATGTTGTTGCTCCCTCATCGAACACGGTAGTGGAAGTTACTTTATCATGAGATATAGAAGTGTAAGTTGTTCTCTCATCAGGCACGACGGTGTAAGTTACTTTATCATTAGACAAAGGGGTGTAAGTTGTTCTCTTATCGGTCACGGCTATGTAAATTGGTTTATCATCAGCCAAAGTGCTGTAATCTGTTTGATCTTCGGCATCATAAGAGTAAGTTGTTTTATCCTCAGGATAAGTGGAAATACTTTTTGCTTCAAGATTGCACTCAGCTATGAAAGAGATAAATATAAGTAGTTTTATCCTCATTATAAGTTGTGATACTCTTTGGTGCAACATTGCACTCAGCTTTAAAGGAAACAAGAGAAAGTAGTTTCATCCACATAAGTTGACTGTAAAGATACATTTTGGTACAATGGATATATTCTGTTAAGATTGTTCATAAAGATATATCTATCAACTTAAAACATACCTGTTAGAAAATAGGATATGATACTATGTAAGTAATAATTCAATAAATTATTACCTCGTTCATTAACTGCTCTGTATGACGCCTGAAAACCTCCCCTTCTAGATGTAGATGTGCTATATTCTACATGTAGCCAGGGTCCTGCAGATTTAACAGCACGAGGGAAGGATGCTCCGAAATTTTCACATGAATATGGTTCCTCAATCCTCCCCGTTTCATCTGTTAGATTTACAAAATCATAAATACAACTAACACCACCACTACTGATGTAAAAGTCATCGAAGATCAATTCAACCACCTACAAAAAATGTAGATATAATCAACCACCTACACGAAATGTAAAGAAACAATCACCCACCTACAAGAAAGGTAAAAACACCATCCAACCACATACAATAAAGGTAAAGACACCATTCAACCACATTCAAAATGTAAAGAAACTATTCAACCACACACAATAAAGGTGAAGAAACCATTCAACTGCATACAAGACAGGTGAAAAAATTCAATCACGTGCAAGAAAGGTAAAGAAAGCATTCAATCACATTCAAGAAATGTTGAGAAACCATTCAACCATATACAAGAAAGGTAGAAAACATTCAACCACATATAATAAAGGTAAAGAAACCATTTAACCACATAAAATAAATATTAAGAAACCATTTAACCATATGCAAGAGGTAAGGAAACCATTCAATTACACGCAGAAGCGTTAAGAAACCATTCAACCACATACAAGAAAGGTAAAGAAACCATTCAATTATATAAGAGAAATGTAAAAAAATACAACCACATACACGAAATGTTAAGAAACATTTCAACATTTTCGAAGCCACCGTTGATGATGTCATTTGTTTGCCGATTTTTGAGCAATCAGAGATGAATGTCATCTCAAGACTTATACATTATAAGTGTTGACTCTGGTCTTCAGTTGACGGCAATAGTGGTACCAATTCTGTATCATATTGGCAATGGTTTATGTCAGGTATGGTTCATTACCTTTCCTTTCTGAACATGAATATCCCAGGAACATTCCATATTTCGTGTAGACCTACGAAAGCACTTAAAGGCAGGTGATGATATTTCTCCTGTACTCTCATACAAATATCGTTTCGTGCATGAATCTGTTAGAATGGTCCTGTTAGTGTTTGATACTACAAATAAAGATGATTTGAAGCTCAATAAATGTCAGCTTACTCAAACTAGTAAACAACAAAATATATTTATGGACTTTTACTTGGGAAGGTTGAGTATGGGATTCATTCCTAGGGACAATGTGCTGTCGATTGAATATGTATATGAGCTTTCAAGAAGGAAAGTTTTTTGCTGATGTAAACATCCTCCTATGTCTTCATAGTTAACCATGTCTAGTAAACTTGTTTTCAACAATGAAATGTCAATAGAAATATACAAGAACACAAATGTGTACAAAATGTCCCCACCAATGGGTGATAATTTGAGGTCATAAAACATGTAAACATGTAAACGAGACTTTACAGACAAGATTTTAGGATGGAAAATCCAAAATGGCTGCCTTGACATTTACCCAGAATGTCAAAAAACAAATCTGTTCCTAGATTTTCATACTAAGAATCATCCCTGAAAATATGACATTGATCTTCCAAATGGTTCACCTGAAAACGCGTAGACAAGACTTTACAGACAAGATTTTAGGACAGAAAATCCAAAATGGCTGCCATGACATTTACACAGAATGCCAAAAAACTAATCAGATGTAGATTTTCACACTAAGAATCATCCCTGAAAATTTGAAATTGATCTACCAAACGGTTCACCTAAAAACGCGTAGACAAGACTTTACAGGCAAGATTTTAAGACAGAAAATCCAAAATGGCTGCCTTGACATTTATCCAGAATGCCAAAAAAACTAATCAGATCTACATTTTCATACTAAGAATCATCCCTAAAAATTTGAAATTGATCTACAGAACGGTTCACCTGGAAATGCATAGACAAGACTTTACATACAAGATTTTAGGACGGAAAATCCAAAATGGCTGCCTTGACATTTACCCAGAATGCCAAAAAACTAATCAGTTCTACATTTTCATACTAAGAATCATCTCTGAAAATTTGAAATTGATCTACCAAACGGTTCACCTGAAAACGCGTAGACAAGACTTTACAGACAAGATTTTAGGACGGAAAATCCAAAATGGCTGCCTTGACATTTACCCAGAATGCCAAAAAACAAATCAGATCTAGATTTTTATACTAAGAATCATCCCTGAAAATTTGAAATTGATCCACCAAACGGTTCACCTGAAAACACGTAGACAAGACTTCACAGACAAGATTTTAGGACGGAAAAATCCAAAATGGCCGACAATAAAAAAGTGATTATGTGTTTTTGCTGATTTCTTCTTACAAAATTATCACATATAACTACTGTTAACAACAAAGTACATCTGAAATTATTTATAAAGCTACTAAATAGTTAAAGTATGAAAACTCAAAAACACCATTCAATATGATACAAAGTATTATCGTGCGCTAACTTTTCTTAAGACATTCAAAATGGCTGACATGACTGAGCTAACAGGTCCAAAACCTAATCAGATCTAGAATGAAGTGAGCTGAACAAGATGTTAAAGTTTTAAAAGCAACTGTGAAGCCGTTTTTCTTAAAGTTTGCAGACAAGGATTTTAGCATTTGACTTCAAAATGGCCGACAGGAAGTAGGTATCGAATTAAAAAAATTTCATCCACATCTGTATGCACTCATAAGTTATCCCTGAAAATTTGAAGGTGATATCTGTAGCGGTTTTGGAGAAAACTCCCGGACGTACGGACAGACGGACGGACAGACGGACGGACGGACAGACAGACGGACGCGCCTAGGCCGACAATATGGCCCCACACTATGTGGTGGGGACATAAAAACACACCTGTTCTTGCAGGGACTGCCCTATATGATGCATGGAAACCCCTCATCGGTACGTCAGAATCACTCAAGAAGTTAACACGCAGCCACGATCCAGTTGATCTATACATGTAGGATTCCTTGTCTCCACACAGCTTAATACTACGATGGCCATCATTTAGCTTCACAAAGTCATTCTCACATCCATCGCTAGGTTCTAATCTAAATTCATTGAACAGCAGTTCAATTTCCTGTAAAATGTATTTGACAGATATACAATAAAGCAATTTGAGACTCTTTTTTACCGTTATTCCGATGCACGACAATACAGTTGCTTTTCCAAATTAAATGGCATGTTATATTTTAATATAAGATTTACCACAGTGTAGGTTACTTGTTTGCAGTTAATTTGTAGTGATTTTAGACGGTAAGTCGTATGGTGTTAAAAAGCATAACGTTGAGTTTGTTACAAAAACCTACAACGAAATATCATTGAATACTTACCATACCGTCCCCAACATCAATCTCCCAGGTACAATTTTCTGAATTGGGGTACACATTATTGCAAGACTCTTCCAAATATCTAGGTGAGGTGAAATTACCATGACTACTATTTAGATAAAATGGGTGGCGGCATTCTACAACCAAAAAGAAGATTACTTCAATACTATGTTTATTTTATATTTTTTATAAACGGGGTAATACATGATTGTGCTATCAATGACCCCTGTTACACAGGCCAGTTGAAATGCTTCGTTACGAAGCAATTTGACAAAAAGCTTCGTAACGAAGCAATTTTGGGCCAGTGTAACACCTCCGCCTTCGTTGGAAAAGCTTAGTTGATAACGAAGCAATTGAGTAGAAAATTCAACGAAGGTTAGCTCCCAACGAAGCTTTTTTGGCCTGTGTAACAGGTAGCTTCGTTAGAAAATGCTTAGTTGGCGGTTTGCGCATGCGCGTAATAAAGAACACATTCATAATTTTGTATTAAATGAGAGGAATCGCGAGGAAAGAACATGTTTACCGTCTTTCGTAGCATTTCATTCGATTCCCTGCCTTTCCTCGCATTGATATGACAAAAAGTATTAAACTAAAAACGCAGGTTTTACCGTATATAGTTTTGAATCGTTTATCTGATCTATAGAGAATAAACCTAGAATATTTAAATGTCCCTCTTTGGAAAGCTCCGTCTCAAGTGTGGAAGGGTAAACTTTTGAAATTACATAAGATATGCTTAAACTAAATAGAAAGTTGTGGCATACATGTTTAATATAATTTTTTCTTGCGCCTCGAATAATTATACCTTGAATGTAATCCTAAAGGTGTTAATACCATGATACTGATACAATTGCTTCCCGGTGAACCCGGCCGGTGAATCACATCAGGGAATACAGCCGATTTGATTGATTCGAAAATGTCTCTCTTCAGAAATCGTATTCAACTGGCTATCGCCCCATTGCAATACATGTACTTGTACTATAGTCGTTCCATTATTTTATTCTTCGACGATTTTAAATTGTTATTGAATTTAAACTTCATGTTGAAATATATTGAATTAATTACGTTTCAAAACTTCCGTATACAAATACGGTAAAACCTGCGGACAAGGAACGGTGGCCAAAATTGTTTCTTGTCGACAGATATTTGCCACAGAGAGGCTGCATGTTTTAGGCCAGCCCCAAACACTATTGATGTGTCGTAAGACGATGCTTACAACTGATATTCAAGTTTCTTCCTATTTGCGCCATTTTCGAATTCAACGGACGGCTGATGGATTAACATACTAATTTATGTCAAACTCACTCAAATATGCATGGAGTATTGGCGAGACGAGTAATATTCATATTAAAATGAATTGGTCATGAAATAGTAGTTACACGCGGTCCTAACTTCGACCGATAATTTGAATTTTTGACCTACCGGATGTTTGAAAATCAAGGATTAAGAGTCTCATACTACACCGTTTTTCTTCAAACTTGTTCCATTCAAAGCATAACAAAAATCCCTTTATGATGGTACATTATTCTCTGAAACAGAGTCCCTACTTCCAGCGGCATTTTGGTCCCCAGCTGTAAGAAGGCCTTCTAACAGCTGGGGACCAAAACGCTGCTAGAACGAGGGACTCTTTACAATAAAGTAATGCACCAACAGAAAGGCAATTTTGTTTTGCTTTTAATGGTATAGGTTTGAAGAAAAACGGTGCAGTATGAGACTCGCAATCCTTGATTTTCAAGCATCTGGTAGGTCGAAAATTCAAATTAACGATCGAAGTTAGGACCGCGTGAGTTAAACCACCAGCCGATCACCGAGATATTTTAGTAATGGCTACACTATTTGAAATATAACCCAAATCCAATTCCTCCTAGTAATTAACATAGGCCTATTTTTATTCCATATGTTTTCCAAAGGAAATGATAGAAAATGAAAACAATACTTGTAATCGTATTGACAGCTGAAATATATAAAAATCGAAATGATAGGAAAAATGTATGGACATGTGTACGGAATGATCACATTCATCTTGTTTTATTTTCCCGAGAATTTTGAAGTAGTCTTTTTCTGTGCTGACTTGTTAAAATAAAGATTATAAAAATTAGATTTTTGAGTTTGATCAATGGTTTATATCAAAAGAATAGAAATATTAATCATTGTAATATAAATAAGAAAAGAAATTTGCTACAAGGGCTAAATTGCCTAAATATCAAGTTGTTTTAAAGTTTACTTGAGTTTTGAAAGGGCTAATTATGCTATAGAGGCCAAATTGGTCAGTTGAGCCCAGGTTGTCCACATGTAAAGACATAGGCAGTTGAAGATTAGTTTTAGATAGATAATTTTAGGTGTGCACACTTTAGATAAGTTAGATAATCAAGATAAGTTACAAATTACAAACGAAAGAAACATCTTACCAACAAGGAGACAAGAACAACACGCTAAGGTAATCTTTCGATCACATGGTGGCAGCGGGTGGGGCAGATGAGTAATGCGCACGCGCAACGAAGCATTTTAAGTGCAGTGTAACACCAAATAATTGCTTCGTTAGGGTTGGATAAAGCCAGTGTGGACACAATTTTTTCGCTAACCTTCGTTACAAAAATGCTTCGTTAGACTCAACCCAGCAGTGTAACAGGTACCAATGTCTTAGCAGTCAGATCGCATTATTGCTATACGTTATTATTTATTAATTGGTTAAAAATACGCCTATTAGAGCCTTGCCCAAGTCGATGTATTTTTTCAAATTCTATTTTCACCATTAGTTGATAATTGAAATAGATAAAAGGTAATACAGGGTGTTAAAAAAACGCAACCCAAAGAAATCGCTATATCTTGGAAAATACTAATCCAATTATGTTCTTTTTTTCAGGAAAAGAAAGAAGAGACTGTGTATGTATAGCTCCCGTTGTCAGTAAGTTGTTAAACATGATGCCTTGGACACCTGCTCAAATGACAGTTGAACTAGGAAAATATGAAAACGCAGTCAGAGGTGACTGCCACAGCAATAAAACCAAATAACGTTCTAACCATGGTGTTTTGGCACTTCAGATTTGGCAAAAATTATCCTCATTCAATGTGTGGTGAATTTGTGGAGTTTCATTAAAATCACTCCAGGGACTTTACAGTCATGGTCAAAATGCCTTCTTAAAACTGTAAAGTCCCTGAAGTGATTTTGATTTCACTCTACAGATTTATCATACAGTGAATGAAGATGATTTGTGCCAAATTTGAAGATCCAAAACACTATGGTTAGGAAGTTATTTAATTTTTTTGCGGTTGCAGTCACCCCTGACTGCGTTTTTCGTATTTTCCTAGTACAACTGTCTTTTGAGCAGGTGTCCAAGGCATCATGTTTTACAACTATCCATTTACAGGAGCTGTTCATACACAGTCTCTTCTTTATTTCCTGAAAATATGAACATAATTGAACTAGTATTTTTCAAGATATAGCGATTTCTTCGGGTTGCGTTTTTTTGAACACCCTGTACCAATTTTGGCAAGACTATGAGAAAATACAACACGCTATGTAAATGATAGCTAAATACAAATTTAAGTTGACAATGCACTTGTGTTGATAGTACTATTTGAAAAAGGCAATTTTGGATTTTCTCACCATTCAATTTTAATATTCGAAAATACAGAACGAGGAGTGATCAAAAATTAAAGGACGATTTATACACAGATATTTCGATTGATTTAATGGTGGATTCTTCCACAGGGTCGTGGGTCTCTTATGCGACACTATACACGACGTACTCAATTGCCCCATACCTTTCAAATAAATTAAGCGTTATCAATATACATATGTATCGCTTATTTTCATCTTCAGGTTTTACGGTTGGTGGGTTTAAAGAAATATCAATCAGAAACACCTATATGTAGAATACGCCCATAACTTTTAGATAACTCCTCGCATGGCTCTTTAACCTTTTTTATTAACAGCTTTGTATGTTGCCCAAAACGCTGCCCTCTTAAACAAAATTATGTTATATTCGACACGTAGCCAGGGTCCTGCAGATGCAATAGGATTAGGGGAATTCGCACACAAATGTTGTTCATCCATTTCCCCCGTTTCATCTATTATTTTGACAAACTCAAAAATACAACTGTCGGAGTAATAGGTTTCGAAGAACAATTCAATTATCTGCAAAAAATGTTGTCTAATCTCTGAAAGTTATATAGTACAGTTTAGTGGTTATCACGTTTGTGTTGTTATTAAGGACTCCGTGCATTGTGTGCTGAATCATTCCATGAAGATGTTATTTCCAAGACCGCATGACCGCGCAGAAATGTAATGTAACAAAATATGGGGGTATTTCCAAAGTAAAAACATTAAAAAAATACCACAATATTATCATACGTTTTAAAATAGTATTATAATAGTATGTTACAATAGTATGAGCAGTATTCATCTTACTTGATGACCACCCTTTATTGTAATGAGACAATAAACACCGAGTAACAGAGCATAAACGGAAACAGTTTCTACTTGATCAGTCATTTATTGAAACCAGAACGAGACTATGACGTCACATCACATTTAAAGGGATGCTATAAATTTAGTATTACATAATTATATGACATTTATAAGCAATTAATTACGTGAACATGATTCATTACCTTTCCTTCCTGAGCATAAATATCCCAAGAGCATTCCATATCACCCATGAATGGACGAAAACACTTTTCTCCAGGTGTGAATATTTCCCCTTCACTCTCGTACATATGTCTTCTAGTGCATGATTCTGTAAGGGTGGTTCTATTCTTTTTGGAGACTAGAAATAAAGATTATTTCAAGTGTCAGCGTATTTAAGCCATGAAAAGGCCGAAAGTATTTATAGGCTTTTACTGGAGTGCCTACCTTGGAAGATTTATGAGCTTTGGTGATTTCTCTATCTTGACTAACGAGTCATCCATGGAGTCAAAGACCCAGAAGTTTCCAAGTCTTAGTCCACGAAACATGCGGAATGTCCGCGATCAACTTTCATAATATTTAGTTTTGGGGAGGGGGTCAAACTCAAAGCAAGATTTATTTAGTTTCCTATTAGTCATTGAAATGTTGATACCTCCCCTAACAGCATACATATTAAGACACATACATGTACTGGAATTGACTGCCTTATATGATGCATTGAAACCTCTTCTTGTTCCTCCCAGAGGATCACTGTAAAATGCGATACGAAGCCACGATCCAGTTGATCTATACATGTAGGATGTCTTGTCTCCACACAGTTTAATACTACGATGGCCATCATCTAGCATAACGAAGTCTGTTCCACATCCACTCCAAAGTTCTAATTCAAATTCATTGAACATCAGTTCAATCTCCTGTAAAATATAAAACACAAATATGACTTGAATGGTGGGATTAAACGTGTTTAACGACTACGAGTTGTTTGTAGAATGAATTGGGGGGGGGTTATTTCGTACATTTCGCTTATTTTTTTATCTAAAAAACATCAATACACTTTACAACATTTTATTGACTATGGGATTGCTCCATATAATTCATGATATATATGAAAGATATTTCTCATTTTCAAGGATTATCTATGGATTAACACCCAGGTATTTCCATTTTTCAAACTTCGGAAGGCTGGGAATCATTGATAATCAATATAAATGCTGTTTTAAATCAATTTCATGTCTGCCAATAATTTCTCAAATTGTGTAAACTGAACACATTCTTTAATCCCAAGAATATTCTCTTGGAGGAATTTCTCATAGAAATCCAATGGTATAGTATTTGGTTTGTTTTGGTTTATATCACAACCAAATCTTTTATTATTGTAATAAAGGTATGCTTAACTAAATATATTAAAAAGTACAGCTCTCGTCAGGAATGTTCCCTTTGTTAAAGATTTACTTCTCTGTTATCTCAAAATCTGCTTGGATTCGTACATCGCTACACCAGACACCCTATACAAGTGATCTAATCCATGGCACTAAAAACGGTAAAAACGGTGACCCTACTGTACGCTACGGAAATGGAGAAAATATTTATCAGCTAGTTCGGTGCGCAACAGCGTCCAGTCGTCTGGGAGATTGTTTTCACTTTGTAGAGAAAACAATTCTAAACCTTTGGGACCTTTGGATAGAAGAGTTAAAAGCCTTAGCAAAGTAACCTCCTTTGTTTACATTCGCCAAAACGTAAAAATAGAAAACGTTTCATAATTTTTTAAAAACCTCAATTATTGGAAGAGATTTCACTTGTTGGTCACGGGTATTTCAGTCAAACACGAAAAAGCAGGCCAGTGCCGTTCGTAACACCTTTTTAAATCTTCTCTCCACGGGTAAAAAAAAGAAAAAGAAAAGAGGGGTTATCTTTTGGTCACTTAATTTATATTATGTACAAAGTGTTTTCATTTAATTTTCCTCAATGAGTACCGGATTTTCTCGCATATACGCCCCCCTAAATTTAGGCCCATGGGCCAAAAATCGAATGTAGTACGCCTATACGCCCATGGGCCTATAAAAAATGACTATTTATTGATTTTTTCAATAAATTCAAGAGTATTTTGTCACTGGCAGATCGTTCTGTCGTTACTTTGTTTCAACATTAAGTTCAACGCTGTGCCGTAAGTGGCAGTGGTGGATCGTTCTGTTGTTACTTTGTTTCAACATTAAGTCCAAGGTTGTAGGTGACATTTCCTTTATAATTCTTACAAAACCTGCGGTAGGACTACAACAGTAGGTACAGTAGTCTTTGAGGAGCCATTGTATTCATCAGCTCTTCTCACCTTTACGCCCACTGGGCCAAAAATCGAAAGTAGTACACTTATACGCCCATGGGCGAAAAATAAGAGGTAAAATAACAGACGAAATTACCCCTTCTTTCCGTTATACGCCAATGGCTTATATGCGAGAAAATCCGGTACGTGTTACTAAGATTAAACCAACTTGCTAATGATATTATTATTTTATATTTAATAAATTAATTTCACCAACACGAATGTATTATGTTCCGTTATAATTAGCAACTGATCGAGCAGATCAAGGGAAGAGACACAAATGAACAACTGCTGGAAAAAGTATTATAAACTGTCGTTCTTGTTCTCGTTATTTGAGAATTCGAGAGATAAAGTATAATCTTGAATCCAGACATCAAGATTACTGGCAGACTTGAGGCCCAGCAAGCGTTTTTGATATCTTAAAGATGATGTTTGAAAAATATTTGTTCTATTTTAAGCAAGAAATAGCATTGGATACTAACCATACCGTCACCAACATCAATCTCCCATGTACAATTTTCTGAAATACGGTACATATTATCGCAAGAGTCTTTCAAATAGCCAGGCGAGTGGAGAGCACCATGACTAATATTTAAATATATTGGGTGACCACACTCAGGATCTTCTGCAAATATAAGAATAGTTTTTGCGTATGCAGGGTGGATCAGTATAGGACGTGTAAGACATGCATTTTATTTAAAGTCATGTATATTTTATTTGTAGTTGGCCTTTATTGTGTTGTTTGTCCGTGGGTTGAATGTAGAACTTCACTGTCCTTTGTGCAGTCAGTTCGCGCATATATCCTAAATCCCACTCCAAGAGTATGAGTATGAACACTTTACTGTCTATGCCACACCTGTCACGCCTTCTTCCAATAGCCCCTATCCCCCATTGTACTGACTTTTGCAATGTTTAAAAGTTGGGTCCGAGCTGAATTTTGCCCCACTTTGTAAAATTAGTGATTATTCGGCCAGCCATGACTCCCTGTGAATGAATGATATTCCATTGCAAAGAGGAGTAATTTGGTTTTTTGGTTTTATGTTTTCTTCCAATATTGCATTGGGCTCCGTACACTGACTTTTGTGATGTTTATAAATTGGTCTCAAGCTAATTTTGGCCCACTTTGCAAATGGAATGATTACTCGCCCAACCGTGACCAAATGTCAATGAATGATATATCATTGTAAAGAGGAGACACGTGGCTTTATGGTGCATTGAAGATCTATCTTAAACGCAATGTACATGAGTGTGTGAACTCATACACTAGTCACTGCTATGAATAGTAAAATGAGCAATATGTGGTTTATCAGAAACCAAAAACATTTTTATTGAAACAAATTTTTTAAATGAAAAAGAACTAAATCTTATCCAAAAACCGGGTTTGAAAGTTTGTATATACTGTATACGATGGTACATACCTTCAGGAACTGCGATGTATGATGCATGGAACCCTCTTTTAGAAAAAAAGAGATCACTTTCGAAATCAATATATAACCAATTGCTTTTAGATCTTCGAGTATGGAATTGATGTGTATCACAAATTTCATACAGATCACCATCATCTCTTATTCTTACATAGTCATACTTGCAAGTACCACTAGGTGAAGGTCGTTCCAATTCAAACACAACAAACTTTAGTTCAATTACCTGTAATTGGAAATGGTTTTGGTTATTTGTTGTTTTCACATGTATTTTATTGATGTAAATCTTTACTAGGCTCCTAGATTACATTTTTGTATCCGTTCAGTTGTTTTTGAATGTTATTTTCCACATTGTTTTTCATTTCTAGTTGAACCTGTGACCAGTTTGATTGCTTCAGGATTTAATTTTGTCCATTGACAATTTGAGGTTGAATGTGTGCTAAAGTCACACCGGAATAGCCTGACAATGGTAAAGTCAGGTACCGTTGTCACAAATGGCGGACATAACCGTCGCTTCAACTTTTTAATCACTTGGTCCTCGTTTCATGGGACTTTATCGTCGCTAATTCTGTGCATGTGTTAAGCTCGTGTGATGATGTATTATATGAAATTCAAATTTCTATCAAATGGGGTCGTGAATTGGCACAATATACATGTATCGTCTTTGATATCGTCAATGACAACTGAATCTGACTTTGAAATTTTGAAATAATTTACAAAGACAACGGCATATGGTAAGATATGACATCGAACTATGGTGGATGTATTGAATTGGAACATAGGAAATGACAACGGTAAATAGACACTTTACCGTCATCTTTACATATACCGTTTTCAAATAATACCGTTGTCACCTCAATTTTACATCACAATTGACCCACACCTTCCGATGTCATTTATACAGAATCCGTTGTCCTGTGTCATATTATGATCGGTAAAAGCCTTTATTTCGATGGTAGAACATATTTAACTATATGATTTGTAGAAAAACACTTTGAGTGATTGCAATACCAAAGGAATTTAATCTAGCCGCTCTATTAGACATACACTACATGAAAATCGAATTGAAGCGACGGTTATGTCCTCCATTTGTGACAACGGTATCTGACTTTACCGTCGCCAGGCTATTCCGGTGTGAAAGTAGCGAGAACTAAAGTGTTGATAACAGTCTTGTATTTAATGGACTATGATCATAGATGCTGAAAGGTTTAGGTGAGGTTTGATAAATTGTTTTTTTACGTTAGCTCATAACTAAAGTTAGGGTATTGGGTATTTGGACATTCGCATTGTCATACTATTCGGTATTTTTCTTTTTTGTCCTATTGAATATAAAGGTGTGATGTAAATAGTTATATAAACGCACGCATGTGGTATCTAAAGTCTCAACGCGAAATTCCTTATGCACTGGTGTAATTGCACCAAATGCTAGCCATGCTAGGATGTACGTCGTCTGGGGTTGGATTACACCCCTTTTAGTGTATTATCAAGCCATACACAGTGTAGTAATTTGATTTTTCGTGTCGTGAATTTGTCATTTGAATCGCTCTTCAACCACTATTAAAAACAAGGTTGTACTCACCATTCCTTCACTCACATGTATTACAAACTCACAGCTTGCTGAGTTTGGATACGTCGCAGTTGGATCATCAGACATGAACCCTGGGGATGAAAAGTCACCAGAACTTCCATTCAAATATATAGAGTCGGAGTCCCCTTTACATTCAGTAATAAAGGTAGCAGCTGTGTTCGCTTGAGCAACGGTAGTCATCGAAACTATAATAAAACATGCTGAATCTTGTATGGGGTACACGTAGCCTAAAGAGAACATTTGAGACTATTTTAATTTGTGTTTGTAATTTCTTGACGTGTGTTTTCTGTGTTTTTGAATTTTCAGGGTGAATCTTTATTAACATATTATCTGTAAAGTAAAAAGATAAACTTCTTCAGATAGGGATTTCTTTTTAAATGAACAGTAGAAAATCGGATGTAGTATTGTTACCATTAATGAATGAAAATTCCGGTATTTTAAATCTTCTTACCTATCTCATCTTTGTCAATAGCCTCAAATGTTGCATAAAACCCTTGTCTCGCTATTTCCCCATCAGTATTCAACAGCACGAGCATCCAATTCCCTCTAGACTTAATGGGATAGGGTGCCTTTGAACCACACAAAAATGATCCAAGGTTTCCATAGAAATCCCAAAGTCTTATGTGGTCAAATTCACATCTTGGGTGATACTCGATGTCAAAATCATGAAATGTTAGATTAACAACCTAAAAATATTACAATATTGTTGAAATATATAAGGCATAGACATGAATTATATACAAACGCGTTTAATAATCTTAACTTTGGTTAGTTAAATATCAGAAAATATCAAATTCAGAAAAAATTGCCAACTGCTGAGCACACCATAGCTACACCACCAGCTAAAACAAATGTGGTCATATAACCATAAAATTGCAGCAATCGTAGAGAAAATAATTTGTTGACACATTTCACAAGAGAACTAGTAGGATACATATAAAGGTATGTAATTCATTTATGGATCAAGATGGTATATCTATGGGGCCTATCTCTGCAACTCACCATATTGGAATCAACGTTGATCAACCAGGACATGTGCTGATTATGTTCATAGCCACAGGTATCGTATCCAGGTGATGAGAAGCATCCACTACTTCCATTGAAACAGAATGTATGTCCACAATCTAATAACAGAAATGTTTTTTGGTTCTGTAGTTTTGAAAACGTGTATATTTGAATACGTTTCATTAAATTGGCGGTCACTTAAAGTAAATGGAAAATCACTCTACAAATTGAAATCCGACTATTATTATTTACCAAAGTGAATGACAGTCTATATTAGCTTTAAAATGTTATGATTTCAAAATATGGGTAGATGTGCTCTACCATTGGTCGTTTTCAGAAGCAATCCAGAAACATTCAAATAATGGCAAAGATGGAAGTCCCAAATTCACATTTTTACATTCACATTCGCATTTCTCGAAACACCCAATCATAATTTAGACAGTGACAATTAAAAAAAGTAACAACTCACCAAAAAATAATACTATTAAACAATATTCTATTAATTTAACTGTGTAAGTAAAGCAGTATTGATTTGTATAAAGTTATTGTAAAGAATACCTGTTTCGTTTTTCGTCGTAGCACACTTTTTTGGCGTTGTTTGAGTAAATGATTTCTCTGTGTCTCTTGGGACTTGTGTATATGTTTGAATTGGTGATTTAGCCGAGCCATTCCCATTTATTGTTGAGTCATTTGTAACGTTTGTTTGATCGCTTGTAGATGTAAGTGTTTTGATGGTAGAGGTTTGACCTGTCGTTATGGTTTTATCAATTGCCATTTTCGATGAAGACATCCGGATATTCTTTGGAGTCATATTCATCGTAAACGATTCCATATTGATGGTTTGATGATTGCTGTATGTAGATGGGGTCTTATCCATCGAAATTGATGAAGACATCCGGGTATCTTCTAGAGACGCACTTGTTGTCGAAGGTCCTCTTTTGCTTGTTGGATCATTGCTGATTGATTCTTATTAAAGTAAAAAAGCAAAAAGATCAACAAGATAACAATTTACATCACATATAGCTACATAGCCAACCAGCAACAAATTATACAGGGTGGGCCAAAAAAAATTGCAACTTTTTTAAAAGGCTAGAAAAGTATCAAAACATAAGGGTATTGCCATAAAAAATTATTTACAGAAACTTAAGGATAGGTATATATTACCATTTAAATACTAAAGCTAAACTGGACTTCAATCTTTTTTATCAGATCTTTGAATATCAATGGTCTATTGTTCATGTGTCCGAGATTTACCGTTTTTCCTAGAAAATGTTTCATTTATGTGATCAACAATAACACATTCATTATGTTCACTAAATCTGTTACAATCTTGGATAACTGTTCAACCAATGTCTAGTACAGTTTATATCAGTATCTAGTCACTATGATATTATGTATCTATTGATTATTTATTAAACAAATTTTATGCATCATCCTTTCACCTTCTCTACAAGGAGACACGGGCAGAACTGGTGAATGGCGCGATCCAGCGATTCTTGTGGTAGTTATCTCCACTTCTCCTGCAGAACTTCTTTTAGTTTAACAATAGTTTGTGGGGGATTACCATTAACTGCAATAAGCTGCTCCAGGTGCCCCAATGGTGATAGTCACCGGAGTTTGCATCTGGGGTATTTGACTAATGAATCAAGGCTTATTCTCCTCCAGATATTCCAAAGTGACTTTTGCCCGATGGCTGGGAACGATACGGAAGGTGAACGGGGATGCATAGAACATTTGTTTAATAGATAATTAATAAATACAAGATAACATAATACCATAGTGACTAGATACTGATATAAACTAGACATTGAGGTAGACATTGTTTAAACAGTTATTCAAGATTGTAGCAGATTTAGTGAACATTATGAATGTGTTATTGTTGATCACATAAAATCATAGAAAGTCACATTTTCTAGGAAAAATGGTAAATCTCAGACACATGAACAATTGACCATTGATATTCAAAGATCTGACAAAAAAATTTGAAGCCAGCTGTAGCTTTAGCATTTAACTGGTAAAATATGCCTATCCTTAAGTTTCTGTAAATAATTTTTTATGGCAATACCCTTATGTTTGGATACCTTTTTAGCCTTTTAAAAAAGTTGCAAAATTTTTTGGCCCACCCTGTAGGTATAGTTTCATCTACGGAACCCGTAACAAGAATATGGTACCGTACGCTCAAACAGTTCCGTGTAGGACGATTTCAAACAACTAGCTCAAACATCATCGCCATTTTTGTAAGGTAAGGTCACCATATTCAATGAAATTATAAGTTATATTCCGTGGTAATGTAAACAAAGCCAGTTAAACGGCTGTGATCATTTGATCATCTTTATCAAAGATATAATATTTTTACTTGGTTTAATGTGTCATGTTTTGTACTACACTCTAAAATAAAATTTAATATCTAAAAACATGTAACTCATCGGCAATAAATACGTTATATATAATACATTTAAGATGTCGATCGACTTACCAAAATGGCCCCAAAACAGCAAGAGTCCAATGTAGAATGTAGTCGCACCAAACATTATGGCAGAGTGGGCAACTCCCTAAATGATCACACACTAATACCAGGACATGATTAAAATTACGAATTATCATGTATTAATTCCTATCCCCTATTAATATATTGTCCTGCCACTTTTTAATAGAATTAGAACACAAATGATATACAAGCGTACCAATAAGATTGCCACTAAAAGAACATATTTTCAATGAAACTTTTTGCAAGGGTCAAATTGGCAAAGTATCAATTTCAACCAGTAGGGTCAAGTTGTTCCTTTAAGAACCATTTAATGGGTGACCTTAAGTTGGTTATCAATTATATAATGTACTGCAGTTATATGAAATAGCGTGTTCAGGTTGGCTGGAATGGGACCCACCTTGCCTAGCTATATATGTGTGAATCCGATATTAGAGGTTGGCGTTTTTAGTGTCACCCTGTATAAGACCGTGACAAACACGTCGATCAGTATTAATTAATGAGATTAAATCACTCATATAGATTGACACGAAATCAGAAATTATAACTCGGCATGCTTGTTGTCTGGTTTCAAAAAGTATTAATCCAATATTTGCAGTTTGAGTTTCTCGCTCTGTTTTCTCAATGTTACCAAGCAATATGTTGCCATAGAGTCCGAATGTCCAAAGTATTAAAAAACATAGCCTAATAAGGGGAACTTTGAAAAATTTAGGCCCTCTTTTTGAATTTAAATATCTGGGAAAATATTATTATTCCATTGTATATAATGGCTCATATTGCCTAAATCAAGTGTGCAACTGTACGTACAGTCACGCAATTGGTCCATCGCTCAATGTCAGGTATAATGTTTCTAGAAGAGAATGTAAATATAATTGATTCTATAAGTTATTGAATGATTTGAAGTGCAATACAGGATATATTCTGTTCGAGAAATTCCGTATTGGAACGAGACGAAGTCGAGTGCCAATACAGAATATCGAGACAGAATATATCCTGTATTGCACTTCAAATCATTCAATAACGTTTTTATCGTGTGATCCTCTGTATTGCTACTGAGATTGTCCCCTCCGTACCAATATTTTCTGTATTGCTACGGAGCTGATCAACGGGGACAATCTCAGTAGCAATACAGATTGGTACAGCACAAGAACTGACCAATCAGAGGGCTTCATTTTACAGATCATACGATAAAACTTGATATATGCATACGTATATTGAATCACTCATAAGATTGAGCCCATTGATTTAAAGTGTCCGCCTTTTCTGGTTACGTATTTAATCTAGCGCAAGTTAACGCTAGCGGATTAGACGAGTTACTTTTTCATATGGGTGTGAAGGCTCTCTCAACAAGAGGATTTCGCAACAGCACTTATACACCCTATTTAAATACGAAAACAAGCGATGCGAATAATCATGTGCGCACGGTGCGGATATTAACTGTTATTTTTGATTTTGGATTCGTGATATTTCACAAACTATCTTTGTGAACAGAATTCCTAACAAAAAGGAAATTGTGTAAATAGGTCTGTACTTAATTCTATAGCAACACATCAAGCAAAAGTACTCTCTGCGAAAAAAATAATTTGAAATTGTGCAGGTAGCTATTACACAGCGTAAACATCATTCATTTAAAATTGGTGATCGAGATTACCAATCAATACAGATTGCATCTTGAAAGTTGAAAGGTTTCTGTGTGATTCTATACAAAAATGGGATACATGAAAGGAAAATGTGCTACCTATAAACAAGTGATGGTGCGGATATCCGTAAAGTGACGATATCCAAACCCCTTGTTAAGAGGTAGCACATATCCGATAACTGTTTTCAATTTTCTTAAAATTCACACAGAAAGTTTAAGCATTTCAAAATGCAAAAAATAATTTATATCGATGGGTCAGCTCCATCATCAAGTTTTATGAATGTTCGTTGTAGTAAAACGGCAATTCTTCTTCCAATTCTTTGCTATGGCCAAAGGATGATTGCTTATATTAGTGCGTCGTGTTAAAGCAAGGGAAAGATCAATACCCGGTGATTTCAGCGGGAAGTGGCGTTTCGTTCATTGGATGAGCTGCGCGCGCACGCATAAATGTGATTATCCAATATAATTAGGGGAGGGCTATTTGAAGTAGTTTTTGGTCTCAGGCGCGACCCAGGGCTGTTGTCTTAAGGACATTTCGTTGAAAATGAGCCATTCGGCTGATAATTGGTAAGAGTTTGCGATCTTATAATGTATAACTGTTACTCAGACACATATTTTGACACGATTCTGTTGGAAATAAGCTTTGAACCGAGAGATATTCACGATTGATATGCACATTTTTGATTGTGCCATTGCTTTTCTATTGCACAACCCATGTATTGATAGAAGAAACATTAATAATACAGATTGGTTTACCTTCAATACATGGCAGACACTACATATCGGTCTATTAATACCAGTTTGTGCCTTAAATAGTTTTATATTTCCATCCACGGCCTGGAGCCCTGGGTGTGTTTGTCTCTTATGTGTATGCTTGTGCATGGACTTCTTATCACTAGCAGAATTTAACATGATGCAAACTCGACATTATAACTCATGCTGTAACATTTTGACTTCGCTGGAAAACAATAGGAATTATTTTTCTTGCCAATCAATCATGAATCACAATCAAAATTTCAGAATGATCAATCAGGCAATGATCCAAATCAAGTTATAACATTATATGATATTCAGCAAGAAGTCCGGTAGAAATACAGATATAACTAAAATAAACATCAAAGCTGAAAGTTAAAAGCTAATCTGTCAATTTTCTGTCTGCAAAAGAGCGTCCCAAGAGCGTTTACATTTGACACAATAACAGACTGAGGCCTTGAAATCTAGGATTCCCCAGGAAAATATGACGTCATACTAATTAGCATAAGGATTTCCCTATTGGGGTGGGTCGAGCCTTGTTCGAAAACACAATCCATAAATACATGCTAATTTCTAAGGAGATAGGAAGTGTATAACGTGTTTATCGATTTTGTTTAAATATTTAATCAATTATCAAATTGTTTAAGTGGATAAAGTGGTCACACTTGCTTCAATTCATAGCGAAATCGACGGATAGAAACTGACCGAATTCCCGATATCCTACCCCGTATTACTGTAGGCTATAAGCACAGTGACCTACAGAGGGCGCTATCACAAACAAGTACTGGACGAACCGATAAATTCCCGGGTATTGTAACGCCCTTGGTTAAAGAAGGCAAAACACAACTACACTTACTACAGACACACTTTCACTTTTACAACAGAATAACTAATCAATAAAATGCAACGTTACTGGACAATTTTAATATACGCCCAGAACATTTTGCCCGTAAATATCTATTTCCAAGACAAAAAAATGCCACCTTCTAACTGGACAATTCTAATATACGCCCAGAACATTTTGCCCGCAAATATCTATTTCCAAGACTATGATATGATAATGTTATCATACTATATGTTTTTGATGTACAATCAATTGGCCTTTTGGACATCACGTTTAGTAATTAAAATTTCTAAAAATGTTTTTATTTAACATTGCATTCAAATGGAAAATTCTTTATTTACTAAAAAATTGCACAATCCAAATCTTCTTCAAAAAATTGCGATTATACTTACTATGAGCCGGGACTATGAAAATACAAGTTTGTATGGTAATAATTATGAAAATTCACCTTCCGGATATCTTGAGAAAAATATGAGATAATTAACTTTGAATCAGTGGGAAAACATAATTAGTCCATTGTACATGTATGAAGTCTCATATTAACAAAATGTCTTGATAGATCATCACGAGTGTGTCATATAAAAAGAGATCAAGAAAATGTATGATGAACGGTGAAAAATGAAAAAAAGTCTGCCGGGTTTCTCTAGGTGTTTTAAACTTACAAACCAGCGCTTTAGTCGACTGCGTCACGTGGCATTTGAACAAATCAACTGAATTTTCCAAATCAAGAAATATCAATGTTTAATTCAGTATTCTTTTTTGGCATTAGAAATGCGCTAATTGACTGCGCAATGGGCACTGAAGTTTTACCTCAAAGGAAAGCTTTGCAAAATCATCTTTATGTTGGTAAATTAAAACAAATACATTTTGACTTGTAGTTCTTCATCATGGATTTTTATTCAAATTCTAAATAAGATTAAAAAGCTAAATAGCTCAAAAGTATACATACAAATAAACAGATATACAATGTCACTTTGTACATTAAAAATATATTCTAATAAAACAAATATCAACAATTTTTTGTAAACAATTTTCCCAATTTTCAAATACTACTGCATTTGTTTCATATTGCTTTCCACAGGAACATGGTCTTCAACTTGTATTCTAGATAAAAAAGAATCCTATGGTCAGGTTCTACATTCTTTTCAACACAATAACACATGTGTGTGTTATACGCATGTGTTTATTTCATCAAAGTAAACAACGATAGTAAACAACTACACACATATTGAAAAGGGTGTAAAGGCCCACTGCATACATCAAGTTTAAAGTACATCTAATCTTCTTTTAGTTTGAAAGATTCAATGAATCGATTATTTCTTTGAAGGACTCAATTTGAAATGAAATGAATTGATTCATTGGACAACAATGAGATCACAGGGTATTAAAATCAGTGTTATAATACAAATATAATATATATAGTAGCCTGGCCAGAACAAGCCATGCCTCTCTATTTTCTCAATAACTTTCTCAATTTTAAATATTTTTTCATGAAATTTTCACAGTATAAACTTTAAAGAATTCCTAACATACAATTTTTTTATATGGTAAATGCCTCATTAATTTCATTGTTACAACCTTTTAAAAAATAATGTCATATTCTGTTGATGGGTCATTTTTGTCGCCATTTTTTCTAAAAAGATACGAAAAATCTAAATTAGGTTTTGTCCAAATATACAGATTGTCTTGTTCTTGGTGTGAAACACTGTCTGCTGTCTTCTCTAAGGTATGCATAAGTATTTTGTGATGTTTGCTTGGTATTATAATACTGTTTTGATGGATTGTCCTTTGAATTTTTTGTAAAAACCATCTCTGTGAATTTTCAAAATTTAGCAGACGACTTTTGTGATTTTTGAACCTCAGAGTTTGAAGAGCTCATATTTTAAGGAGCATATTGTAATTCATTTTCAAGGCTAAAATTTTATCTAAAAAATGTGTATGTTAGGAATTCTTTAAAGTTTATTCTGTGAAAATTTCATGAAAAAATATTCGAAATTGAGAAAGTTATTGAGAAAATACAGAGGTATGACTTGTTCTGGCCAGGCTACTATATAATCATACTTCATTGTACATAAATATACTTCATTCTATATAATCATACTTCATTGTACATATACTTCATTGTTTACAGATATACTTCATTGTGCATCATTATATTTCAGTGTATACAATCATACTTCATTATTCATAAATATACTTCATTGTATATAATCATACATGTACTTCATTGTACACAAATACATACTTCATTGTATATAATTATAATTCACTGTGCATGTTCATATTTCAGTGTACATAAGTATACTTTACTGACATAATTAACTTGAACATACAAGCAACTTCATTTTCCATTATTATTCCTCAATGTTCATTAGCATACTCATACATCTGTATCATCGACAATACTCAAGCAGTACTAATATAAAATATAACTACAATGTAGTACTAAAAATAAGTAGTAATTTTCACTAGTGTATACATTTGTAAAGCAGTATATGTGTATACAGGGTGATCAATAAATAAGGTAAAAGTATCTGGTATTTTGTAAATATTGGTCCAAACATCCTGAAATTTGGTCAGAATATACTTTGTACATTTCTAAATTAAAATATTTGAATATATAACTTCTGTCATATGATTGGTTAATATTATAGTTACCATGGCAACTGGAGTCGGGGGTACCCGGGGCAATTTTATTGCATCCAATTTGAACAAAAAATAATAGAAGCATATCTTTTTCAAACTGAAAAGAAATAAACGTGGGTGCCAGCATTTATTGTTTCTATAATACTTTGTTTTCATTGTTACATATTTTCTTGCAAATTTGATGTTTGATGTCACTGAAAAGATAAATATATAATGAAAACTGATGTGATCAAAGAAAGTCTATGACACAGGTCAATGATGAAAAACAATACCCATAGAAGAGATTTGATGAGAGCGAAGAGAAAGAAGCTAAGAGGCCCGCAAATGCTCCATCTCACAATGCTATTCTCACGTTACAAACCATTGAAGCACTGGGTTTTCCTCTGTTAGGTCATGTACTATACTCCCCTGACTTGTCCCCTTATGATTTTACCTTCATGGTGAGCTGAAGAGGGAGTTGATGAAGTTTCTCATGGGAAGACTTGAAGTCAGCTATCTTGAAAATGTGCAGGCTATATGAAAATGGGTTTAAAAAGGTGTTCAAAGACTGGAGTAGAGGACATGAACTACAGTATATGTTAAAAAACAAAGGACATTAAGTAGAGTAGTTATGAAGTATAAAATAAGAATATGATATGCCATTTCAATTGTGATTTGAAATATATTATCAAAAGTGCTTCGACTGAAAATTTAGTTTTTGATAGTTGCCCCGGGTCTTCATGCTTTCTGTTGCTATGGCAACCATAACTTCAACCAATCATATCACTTTGATCTGTAACTTAATATATCAATTCAATAATGTTTGAACATTATTCTGTGCAAGTTTTATGAGGATTGGGTAAAATCTGAAGAAATCCCAGATACTTTTACCTTATTTATTGATCACCCTGTAAGAAAGACGTGTAGTCTAAGGTCAACTTACTGAACACCACAATGTTCATGTGGTTTTATATAATTATACCCTGTATTATTGTATATTCTATACTTAATAGTGGTAAATAATTGCAAAACATTGTTATATAAAACAGAACATCATCATATAAAATGATCAAAACGATGATAAGGAACTATTATACATATACATGTTATTATAGTGCAATAAAAAATCCACCATGGATTGCCTGTTTTGAAGTTTGTCATTTGCTCTGTGATACTGCATTTTCCATTAATTTATCACAATAGTCCCATAAACAATCCAAAATAATGCCAGTGAAACGAAAGAACCTTTGATTAGATTTGAGTGAGCGGAACCATTGGCTACATGTACAGGAGCTTTCGAGTGACCCTCTTGAAAGATGGGTATAGTAATTAATATCTTTATTATTTAGAGCAAGCATCATTCAGCTTCCAGACACCGATTCCTATTCCCATGGCAGCTACAATGAACCCAAAGAACCCTAGGAACTTCAGCAATCCCCCCACTGAAGGCAAATATCTCTCTATGCCAGAGCTCTCAATTGGTTTCTCAGGTATGACACCAGGGTATGGTTCCTCTTGCCGTATCTCATCACTAGGAATCCTGCCCAATGCATGGAGGATCTATAATGTACATAAAAGAAATAATCATTTTAGAGCTGGGGTTTCTATAAAGGCCCATTACTGTATACCATGTTCTATATTGTGTCTCATCACATGCAAACTGAATAAACGTAGCTGCAACTTTCTACGGTCAATTTTCAAACTCCATGGATGTGCAAAGTAATTTAGAATTTGGAACCATTTCAAAATATGATGGGGACCACACTGTTCTGTAATTAGATCGTGACATATCATCTCGTTTGAAGTACGTTGTCACAGAACATAATTGATGTAATTCGACCATACTAATGTAGGTATACGTTAACGTCTTTGTGCAATCAGATATCAATTGCAGTAAGTGTGACCCGAAGGAACTGCGAATGAGATGGACGTATTGAAGGATGTTTATAAACAAATAGATAATTAATTTAGACATTTTTTCCGACCACAGCCAGATTTAGCCCATTGCATTTTTCAATTTTTTGAGTGACTGGAAAGAACAGTTGAGAACAAGTTTGGTGTGATAGGGGTAACAACAAACCTCTCTTGCAGCTCTCTCTCCTGATTGGACAGCTCCCTCCATGTAACCACTGTGATACGTTGCAGTTTCCTCCCCTGCGAAATACACTTTTCCTATTGGTTCACTCAAATATCTGAAATAGATACATAAAAAGTGCAGTACATAGAAAATGAAAATATCAGAGAAAATGGAATGAAAGTACATGTACTGTGTGAGACCATATTTGATAAAAACTACAACAATTTTCCTGAATTTTTTTTTTATTTATTTATTTCATGATAATATAACAATGGAATGTACAAACATTAAACACACTGAGAGCATCCTTTGATGAACATCACAACATCATTATTCAAAACAATAGTAACAGCTTACATAAATCAACAGTTCAAACAATAGTCAAAACAAAAATAAAAAACACAAATCATCAATCAACCGAAAAATGGATAAAAACAATAATTAGTCTATGTCATTCATGAACTACTGTATATAATACCATTGGTCATCTAAGCTATCATTAATGGATCCTAGGAGGCACTGAGCCCCAGAGCACCGGAAAATATTTAATTTACAAATGTGAGGCACAAAGATTTATTGTCAACTGAAAGAGTGAAAGTGAAGCTCTCATTTAAGAAGTGAAGTTGAACGACTACAATGGGTAGGAGGCATTGAGCTAACGTAGCATCCCCCAGAGAATATGTGACTTACTTGCCATATTTTGAGAGGACCCCAGGAGGCATTACGTTACCATAGCCACCCCCAGAGAATTCTTCCTCCATCCAATTCTTCTCTACATAGTAGATTGGTTCCAGGAACTTGTCACACCTGAACAGCTTTGCATAATGTTTACATATGGCATTTTTCCTGAAATGTACATGTGCAATTTAAATGTCTAAGCACAAGTGCCTAAGAGAAAGGACCAAAAACTGTAATGAAACCTAGCAAGAAAAGCAAACTCTTCGTGCAAATCTATCATACATGGAACGTACCTATCAATTGGCATATGTTCACATTTCAAGGTTTCTTAACATATAAGTCCATGGGACAAAATAATCTGCATCAGGAAAGTGTTCACTTTGAGAGATGTTCATATTAAGAGATGTTTGGGATTACATGTACTGGTTTTAATATGCTGGTGTTATTGGATAAAGCACATTGCTATTTCAATCATATACCTTTCTTCTTTGGACATATCACACATATCTCTGCACTCATTGGCTGTAATAATGCCCAGAATGGCAGGTACATTGTTCTCTTCTTCAGCAAAGTCATCAGGTAGTGTGGTCTGAACTGGTCCATCATGACTCATAGCCATGCCACTCAGATCTGCAAGTTGATTATTAGTGCAATGTTTAGCACAAAGGATATGCTTTTGGTGTCCATTTTTTCTCAGGCCTTTAGCCAGGGGGATTCGATGGGTTCAAGCAAACCCCCTTGGCCAAACATTCTTTCAAAATCATGCAGTTTTTCACCATTCTGAGCACTTTTTAAGTAATTTTGGTCAATTTTGGACCAAAATTGTCCAAAGTGAATCCACTGGCATTTTTCAAAAAGTGCACCCCTAAGCAAATCCTGGCTACCGGCCTGTTTTCTCCTTACACTTTGATGTTTTGAAAGTGGGTTATTATCATGATAATGAAAAATTAATAATAATGATGAAACTTGTGTTATGATCCTCAGGTCTTTCTAATTCCACTCCATTCAACAGGAACCTTTACAGCATCAAACTGTTATAAATGGAGTTTCTGTATAATTCTAGATGTGTTCTGACTACCACTACATGTGCATGTACTTACTCATGTCTCTCCAGAAAGCAGTTTCATAGAACATCATGGTTTTGATGACTGAACCCATTGGGATCCTTTGTATTAATTGTAATTTCATTGGTGGCAGCGGTGGAACAAATCTCACTCTATTTAGCAGCCCTTGAGGTATAGTGCTTATCACATGTTTACCCTACAAAATATATGAAATACAAATAAAATTCTGGGTCTAATATAAAGATTATGAAAAGCTTATTGTATGTACCTCATACATTTCTCCATTCTCGCAACAGACCCTGGCAATATTGTCTCTCTGTTCAATACGACTGACAGGACATAACTACAGATCTGATACTACATCAAATAGAACTCTAATTTAAAAGCTTATTGTATGTACCTCATACATTTCTCCATTCTCACAACAGACCCTGGCAATATTGTCTCACTGTTCAATACGACTGACAGGACATAACTACAGATCTGATACTACATCAAATAGAACTCTAATTTAAAAGCCTATTGTATGTACCTCATACATTTCTCCATTCTCACAATAGACCATGGCAATATTTTCTGTCTGTTCAATACGACTGACAGGACATAACTACAGATCTGATACTACATCAAATAGAACTCTAATTTAAAAGCTTATTGTATGTACCTCATACATTTCTCCATTCTCGCAATAGACCATGGCAATATTTTCTGTCTGTTCAATACGAATAACAGGACGTGACAGCAGGACTTTGTCCCCTAGAGTTTCTGCCATTCTCTCCAGCAGTGTAGAAAGTCCCCCAATCAATTTCCTCTCCTAAAATACAAATTCAAATTCTGTGTTCTCTGCTTTTCATATAATATATACACTAATTAATAGGGGGTGTGAAAAATAAATTTCCTTAGTTAAAAACAAAAGATTTTTAATATGTTGTTTTAATATGTTGTTTTGTTATGTTACTTTCAAAGACAACTTGATAACAGCAACGCCAATGCGTAGCAAATCTCACCAAACAACCATGGCTTAAACTTCGGAAATCGAAAATGGCTCCCAATTAGGAAAATTGTCACTGGACAATGTAATATACATGTACATGTACTTCTTAACATACAAACATATGACATATTAACAAAATCACTATTTTTTCAGTTATAGCAAAAATGTTTAAATAGCCTGTGACAGCCACCATTTTCCAAGATGGCCATGGGTAATATATTCATAACTTAATCAATTTCCTGTATAATTTTTACATTTTTACACTTTGATATTACAGATTTGTATTTTGTACCTAAAATACATTATAATTGACGCTACAATTTCATTTCAATTTGAGTATGTGTATAATAGAGCCATACTTTGAAGAGATTTGAAAATTATTTGCAAAATCCAACATTAGGTGGCCATTTTAAATTTCCTGAGTCCAAAAATCAGAAAAACATACAATATTTGCAATCTACTCTAAAAACATAGAATATGTGTGAAACAAAATATTTTATGGATAATATAACTTTCAAAATTCCAAACAGTTATAGCTAATACTTTGGTTAGAAATGAAAAGCTTGAGATTTTCACACATCTTTAAAGCGGCGGCTATTTACCAATATATATTACAGTATTCTAGCTATTTTCTGGACAGAGGGATGGACTGACTGTTTGATGGACAGAGGGCTTCACTACTTGTATACCCCTACTAAACTTCATTTGTTCAAATAATTTTAAAACATTCAAAAAAAGACAATTGATGTATTACTAAATAAATATTGATTATTGAACGTTTATGCCCATTTATGAATATAAATACATATTTGACAATCGATGTTCACAAACAATACTCAATAGACAATATGTAAGCTTCTTAAATGTTAGTAAACACTAACTAAAATATTCATATTATATACACATACATGTACCTTTAACATGGGCTATAGGAATACTACCTGTCACTATTTTTACCTGTGCTCCATTTTCTACAGAACCCATTCGTACCAGGCCTCCTCCAGATTTGATGCCTGCCAGGAATTGTAGAAGGGAAACTTCATGTAGCTCTGCACAACTAGCTCCTTTTGTAGACACAGTAAATATTTCCTTTGCAAATCTAAATATGGGATAAATGCCCAAAAGGAGATACATGTACATTATCAGAATTAATAATATGACATTATTCAAGCCTGTGCCAAGAGTCTAAATCTCACTGAGGCAAAATTAATCTATTTCCAAGTAGCCTAGCCTAGAAAAGTTTCATAATCCCATGACCCATGAACATCTGGAAGTGGAACACTTTTCAAAATCAATGACCCATGAACATTTGAAGTTGAACACAAAATTTCATGACCCATGAAAAACTGTTGAAGGTTTTCCCCAGCACAGGGTTAAGAGGTTTAAATATTTATTCTTAAATGCACATAAAATTAATTTGTATGCATTGTGTTGAATAGGTTCCTATCAGTATTCAAATAAAGTGTGACATAAAGGTACAGTGTGACATATTCAAGTTAGTATATGCTTACTCTGTCCAGCAATGCTTGTCCATGAATTCCTTCATTGTCATACTGTCCCATTCCTCAGCATGTGGAGCCTTCCAAGGGGCCTCTACTGGGATCTGAAATTTGGGACAAGCACTTATACATATATACTGTACTTAGTGGGATCTTTTGGAAACTGACATCAGGAGAATAAATCTTAAAGTGGCAACAAAGGGCAGATACAAGATGATGAAAGCAACTTTTGAAGGCTTGAAAAACTGCCAAATTTTTGATAACATATTTTGCTCTCATCATTCCATTTTATGACAATTTTCAAACTTGACAAACAGAGGAGTAACAAATGATTTTAGGGTAAATTATTCTTGCAAAATTGCCATATATGATCCAGGCCCATAGCTAGGATTTGCCAAGGGGGGTTCACTTTTTGAAAAATCCAGGGGGGGGGTCATTTTTGACAATTTTGGTCCAAAAATGGCCAAAATCACATAAAAAGTGCTAAGAATGGTGAAAACTTGCATGATTTTGAAAGAATTTTTGTTTTGGCCAGGGGGGGTTCGCTCAACTCCCCCCCCCCTGACTATGGGCCTGTGATCCACCTCACTATTGATATTAATGATGACCAAATTACAATACAACTCAATCAGAGTTAGTAATATGGGTCATATAAAAGGGAGACCCATAATTCCCACGGGTCAATAATTTCATTTACACAGGGTCTCTTAATATTGATACATTAGCTTACCTCTTCACTCATCTTTTCCACCATTTGGAATATGTTGTTCAAGTCCAGTATCTTGATAGGGTCATAGATGTTAGGTACGCCCTTGAATGTTTGCCATCCAGTCTGTAGAACATACCATATACGCAATAGGTTAACGGAAGCATACAATACATGTATAATAGATAGTAGCCCGGACAGATTTGTTCAATGGTCACTTTTTCTTTAATAACTTTTTTAATTTTCAGTATTATCAAAATCTGGTTACATATTTGAAAACTAGAGTAAAATTCTGACATACAAAAAACATATTTAAGGAACGTCTCTTAATTTATTGATATTAAAGGTGTTCATAGTATAAATGACGCAAATAAATAATTCATCATTTTGCCTCATATTTGTTCAAAATGGCGGCATATTTTGTAAATTTGAATGCTCAGTTGAAAGTTAATATTAAAAGATTGTCGTAGGACTATAGGGCCATGCTGCCACTGTTACAATCCTGATGGAATGCAGCAACTGACCAATTATCAAATACAAGAAGTCAACTCCCTCCAAGGGTATATGAAATCAACTGTATTGAAATGTTCGGGGCTGTGTGCAATAGGATGTGAAAAGGTTAGTTGGCGCCCCAATGTGTGGGGTGTGACGAGAGTAGGTCCTCAATCTTTTCAAGAGCTCCAAACAGCCATCTCAGAGGCTATTGAAAAGCTGAAGAACAATTCACATGCATTCCAAAGATGGGTTAAGAGGTGTGTGACTGGGAAAGACATTACAAACTGTGGCAGTGTGACCCTATAGTTGCACAGATTACACGAACTAGGGTTGCTAATCCACTACGAGTAACAATGGAATGGCCAAAAAACCAGCGACCTTACCAATATACTGTATAATTATACAATGTACAAACCTTTTTAAGTACTGGTATATACACAAGTCAATTTAAAACAAAAGGTTATAAATGCAGTCATTACCTCATACCAAGGCAGCAGTCTACATGATTTCGTAGGCCTATGCCATTTCTTAAATATTAACTTTCAACTGAATATTCAAACCACAAAATATGGCGCCATTTGAACAAATATGAGACAAAATGGTAAATTATGTATTTGCGCCACTTATACTATGAACGCCTATAATATCAATACATTAAGAGATGTTCCTTAAATATGTTTTTTGTATGTCAGAATTTTACTCCAGTTTTCAAATATGTAATCAGATTTTGATAATACTGAAAATTAAAAAAGTTATTAAAGAAAAAGTGACCATTGAACAATTCTGTCCGGGCTACTATGCAGTCTTCACAATGTTAGTTTGAATTTACATTCTATGATAGGCCATTCAATATGGCGAAAGTCAGCACGAGTTGGATAGAATGTCGCACTAAGCCCGAACCAAAGGTGAGTGCATTTGATTGAATAGATCAAATAGATGTATGGTCGCACATGTATGCAAAAGAAGGGCTACTCTGTATTCTGATTGGTTGAGAAACTTAATAAGAGAACCATCATGTTTGAATACAGATTCACCTATTGATTAAATTGAATAGGCAAGGTCAATGGTTATATATATGTATATTGTTTTGTTTTTCTTTGACGTACATTGTATAATACATGTAGGTCAAATTTGTTTTTCTTAGATTACCATAAAATAAGTCATATTGTAGTCTTATGCCTAATTTCCACAAGGGAACGGTCTTGAAATTGATAAAGGAACAATCATATCCTGCATGTGACAAATTTGCCCAAAAACTGAGGCCCACTTTTCAGAAAAGACCAATATTTTCAGATCCAATATAGTGTGGGGGAGGGGGCCTGTCCTCACCCATATCTGAAAGTGTGCCAGTGTTCATAATTGAAATTTGAAAAACTAACCTTTGAACTGAGGACTGTCTTCTCCACTTCTCTAACAATTTTCCATTCCATTCCAAACTCCTTAGCGAGTCTTTGCATGCATCTCTGAGTGGGCCCAACATAGCCTCCTCCTACTTCTGTGTAGCCTATAACAGGGTCCTGAAATAGAATTAAATTGAATGAAATGGGATACAATATGGAGTGGACCCAACATAGCCTCCTCCTACTTCTGTGTAGCCTATAGCAGGGTCCTAAAATAGAATTAAATTGAATGAAATGGGATACAATATGGAGTGGACCCAACATAGGCTCCTCCTACTTCTGTGTAGCCTATAACAGGGTCCTAAAATAGAATTAAATTGTAGTAAATGGGATAGAATCTGGAGTGGGCCCAACGAAGGCTCCTCCTACCTTTGTGTAGCCTATAACAGGGTCCTAAAATACAATTAAATTGAAGTAAATGGGATAGAATCTGAAGTGTGTCCAACATAGCCTCCTCCTAACTCTGTGTAGCCTATAACAGGGTCCTAAAATAGAATTAAATTGTAGTAAATGGGATAGAATCTGGAGTGGGCCCAACGAAGGCTCCTCCTACCTCTGTGTAGCCTATAACAGGGTCCTAAAATACAATTAAATTGAAGTAAATGGGATAGAATCTGAAGTGTGTCCAACATAGCCTCCTCCTAACTCTGTGTAGCCTATAACAGGGTCCTAAAATAGAATTAAATTGTAGTAAATGGGATAGAATCTGGAGTGGGCCCAACAAAGGCTCCTCCTACCTCTGTGTAGCCTATAACAGGGTCCTTAAATACAATTAAATTGAAGTAAATGGGATAGAATCTGAAGTGGGTCCAACATAGGCTCTTTCTACCTCTGTGTAGTCTATAACAGGGTCCTAAAATAGAATTCAATTGAAAGAAATGGGATGCAATATGGAGTGGGCCCAACATAGGCTCCTCCTACCTCTGTGTAGCCTATATCAGGGTCCTAAAATAGAATTAAATCGAAGTAAATGGGAAAGAATCTGGAGTGGGCCCAACATACTGTAGGCTCCTCCTACATGTACCTCTGTGTAGCCTATAACAAAGTCCTATAATAGAATTAAATTGTAGTTAATGGGATAGAATCTGGAGTGGGCCCAACATAGGCTCCTCCTACATGTACCTCTGTGTAGCCTATAACAGGGTCCTAAAATAGAATTAAATTGTAGTAAATGGGATAGAATCTGGAGTTAGTCTAGCACAGGCTCCTCCTACATCTGTGTAGCTTATAACAGGGTCCTAAAATATACCCTTGCATTCATTTGACTTCACTTCTTAAAAGAGAGCATCCTCTTCATTTTTTCAGTTTACAATAAATCTCTGATCTCACCGAGCCAATCAGAGTTCATTGTCAAAATACGGACGACTTTCTATGTGGTCATTTCCTCTGACATCACCCCATACTTACTGGGCACGTATTTAGCATGTGTTCCTTCCACTTCGCTGATTGGTTGAGAAAAGGTCAGCGAGGTAGATTTGAAATGATTTACCAGGGCTGTCACAGCACTTATCTATGGGGCGGGGCTGCTAAACTGAAATATAGCCTTTACTAGGCAGAGGGTAGTTTATAACTAGACTCTGTGCACAGGGTACCTAAAATAGAATTAAATGTTAGTAAATGTGATAAAATCTGAAGGATTTCATAATTCATTAAGGCTTTATTGCTTGTGAGCATTCAATATATTTACATGTAAGCATGACTACATGTAATTGTGGTTTAAATGTGGATACTCTTTCATATGATTTACACTTAATTATGTAAACATGTATACTTAACAACATGTATTATAAGTAATAAATTCTAATTGTCAACAATTTGCAGAGGCAAGAAACAATATATCACCATTTTTAATCTACTGTCTCCTCAAAAGAGGCTGATCCCTCTTTATACCCCCCCCCCCCCCCCCCCTATGTACAGTACATTGTCAAGACAATCAAACTTGATTAAAATAACAAGACTAAGACATGATTAAAAGCAGTATGACATACTGTTTTCATTTTATTTTAGATCACACACCAGGGGTTACACTAAAATCTCACAACAGGCTAAATAAATGAAAAGAACAGGCAAACTTAAAGGAAATCATAAATTTAACATGGAAAAGTTGAAGTCACTAAAAGCAACCATTGTAAATCGCCTGCTGCCTGCTGCTAATGAAACCCCTCTACACTCTAGTGGATGCATGTAAATGTACTTACCCTAAGTGTGTGAACTCTTCCCCCTAATCTGTCTCTTGCTTCTATGAGAACAACATCCAGGCCTACTTCATTGAGGAGCTTAGCAGCACTCAAGCCTACAAAACAGTTTGAATTGAGTATACTCAACCACATAAACAAGATAGTCTGGATTGAGTATACTAAAGCATTTAGACAGGATAGTCTGAGTTTGGTATACTTGAGCTCATGAACAAGACAGTATGGATTGGGTATACTCAAGCTCATAAACAAGGCAGTCTGGATTGGGTATACTCAAGCATTTAAAAAGGATAGTCTGAGTTAAGTATACTCGATCGAGCTCATGAACAAGACAGTATGGATTGGGTATACTCAAGCTCATTTTTCTAATTATCAACGTGAGAACACCTGGTGGTTATAATTTTTTTTTTTGGTGGTTATAATAGGGACGACAGATTTATTTCATTGTGTACCATAACTGAGGCATGATTGCACGAAGAAATACGTTTTTGATCGCAAATTTCAACAGTCAAATTCCTCCATTTATTGGTACATGTACATGTACTTCCAGGCCACTTCCGGGCCAGTCAAACGGGGAAAAAGAAAAATGTTCCCGTTCTACCGATACATGTACACTGTATACCCAGACAATTGTGGATTCAACCATGGGCTTTCAACTAGAGTTGTTCAACTAAAGCCCATGATTCAACTACACGAAAAGAATGCTAAAATACCAAGGAATCTATTGAAGTAGGTATCTTAAGTGTAAGGGGCGTAGATAATTCTCCCAAGTAGTAATCGTACAGGCAAAAGATTGCGCTCGGTCCAGGATTATAGTCCTGGCACGGGATAAGTTGTTCGTACCCATGTGACCACCACGGAGCAGCGACATCTAGGCTACATGTACTAAATGTATAGTACATGTACCATTCTGACTGAAGGCTGTATTTTTATGTAAAATGATCGCTGCATGTTCCTGTGGTAACTACTGGGTTTGGATCTACTTGTGATGATGAATCACATGACACAGTGACAGTCCTGCCAGAAACGACAAAAAATCATTGAAATCAATAATCATATGTTTAATATTTTTATTCGAGATTGACTCCATTAGACAGTGATCAAACATCTTAAAGTTGAACCTAACCTTTTCATATAGTTATATCACGTGTCTTACCTGCGAATCCTGCCCCTATTATGACAACATCCACTCTCTTAATCGGTGGATTTTGTATCATCTTTAGAAGTTGTAGGCCTTTGCAATATACGGGAAAATACCGAACGCTGAAACAAATAGCTACTTAGTAATTTGTAATAGTCAATGCAAGGGCGTTACAATACCCGGGAATTTATCGGTTCGTGCAGTACTTGTTTGTGATAGCGCCCTCTGTAGGTCACTGTGCTTATAGCCTACAGTAATACGGGGTAGGATATCGGGAATTCGGTCAGTTTCTATCCGTCGATTTCGCTATGAATTGAAGCAAGTGTGACCACTTTATCCACTTAAACAATTTGATAATTGATTAAATATTTAAACAAAATCGATAAACACGTTATACACTTCCTATCTCCTTAGAAATTAGCATGTATTTATGGATTGTGTTTTCGAACAAGGCTCGACCCAAACCAATAGGGAAATCCTTATGCTAATTAGTATGACGTCATATTTTCCTGGGGAATCCTAGATTTCAAAGCCTCAGTCTGTTATTGTGTCAAATGTAAACGCTCTTTTGCAGACAGAAAATTGACAGATTAGCTTTTAACTTTCAGCTTTGATGTTTAAATATTCTGTATTTCTACCGGACTTCTTGCTGAATATCATATAATGTTATAACTTGATTTGGATCATTGCCTGATTGCTCATTCTGAAATTTTGATTGTGATTCATGATTGATTGGCAAGAAAAATAATTCCTATTGTTTTCCAGCGAAGTCAAAATGTTACAGCATGAGTTATAATGTCGAGTTTGCATCATGTTAAATTCTGCTAGTGATTAGAAGTCCATGCACAAGCATACACATTAGAGACAAACACACCCAGGCTCCAGGCCGTGGATGGAAATATAAAACTATTTAAGGCACAAACTGGTATTAATAGACCGATATGTAGTGTCTGCCATGTATTGAAGGTAAACCAATCTGCATTATTAATGTTTCTTCTATCAATACATGGATTGTGCAATGGAAAAGCAATGGCACAATCAAAAATGTGCATATCAATCGTGAATATCTCTCGGTTCAAAGCTTATTTCCAACAGAATCGTGTCAAAATATGTGTCTGAGTAACAGTTATACATTATAAGATCGCAAACTCTCACCAATTATCAGCCGAATGGCTCATTTTCAACGAAATGTCCTTAAGACATCAGCCCTGGGTCGCGCCTTAGACCAAAAACTATTTCAAATAGCCCTCCCCTAATTATATTGGATAATCACATTTATGCGTGCGCGCGCAGCTCATCCACTGAACGAAACGCCACTTCCCGCTGAAATCACCGGGTATTGATCTTTCCCTTGGTCAATGGTGATTGTATATACTGCAAACAAATACTTGGCGTTTACAACTTGTGCTTGAAATTTCGTTCGTATTTTCTTCGTGAAAATTGAAAAGAACGAAACGATGCCACACATCCGGTTGCAAAATCTGGTGAGAATTTTTAGCTTTTTTGGTTTTACTTCTCTCTCTTTCAACATTGATATATTTTATAAATAGTGTTCATATGTATTTAGATCTAGTTAATATCTCTTCATTGACGTAATATGCATGCATAGAAACATAGATCCCGGCCAGATTCTTCTGTAGTAGGATCAGTAGCTCAATAATATTTCCTCAAGATGAGACACCTCAGAAAATTTCAAATTTTAAAATGACGATTCTGGAGCCATTTCTGAAAAATATGAGACAAATCATACCTCATTCGAAGGGTCTTGTTATTCTTTACCTTTTTTATCACCAATGGCCGTTATTCAAGCAATACTGCGTTGATAAGAGGCCAAAACAGTGATATTTTATCGCCGGACTCTTGTCTGTCCAAATCTGAATGTTGCTCCCGTGGTTCCAGAAATGTGACGTCATCATTACAATGATATTTGGACACACAAGAGTCCGGATTTCGTGAAAAATATTCGCCGTATTGAAAGTCAAATAACTGCATCCATAGGTTATTTACTCGAAACCAAACAAGTAGAAATAGAAATATGAAGATCTCAGCTATAAAATAAGTGCAAAATCTGTCACGGGGAAACAGGTACCATTTTGTATAAGGAACGTTTTGAAAGGTGGTCACTTTTTTTTCGAAATTTTCCAATTTAGTGTCGTATCTTGTGAATTATTCTTTGAGCCTATGATCCTACTACAAAACGATCTGGCCAATATCTGTGCATAGAAAGAAGTCCTAGTCCCACATTTACTATTTCAGATTTGCAGAAATCTTGATCTTTTGAGAGAGATCTGAGATGGCTTTGGATAGGGCCCTACATGTATCTCCAGTCTTGATATTCCTACCCCAACAAATGTGGGGTCGATATTCTAGTGCCAATTCTCCCCCACACTTGAAACCTATTCCTTATCGTGTATCTCGGAGGAATTTCAAAGCAAGTTGAAAGAAAGTTGAAATTATTGATAAATAATTATAGACTGCGGACTATTCTGTAGAAGTGCTCTAGTAATGGATCTCGCTTTTCATGGAAGGTCACACATTCCAACATATTTCAAACAATTTGTATGATTATAATAGACACTTTCTGGGTAGTTGGACTTTATGTAGGGGTGGCAGAAGGCCCTCAGGCCAATTTATACCCCTACCCTAACAAAACCTTGGGGGTACTTTAATACCACCCAATAAAAATAATACTAATGCATATCAGATATTCATCGTTTTATAGAGGGTAGGGCATGCCATGGTTAGTCAGTGCCAGAAATTTCCAATCTCTGACTCATATGGTTACCATGGAAACAGTATTTATATCTCACAATCTTCTCAATTTGACCCCGTCCCAAATGTGTCCTTAAGTTCTCAAAGTGAAATATTTGCAAATCTGTTTGGATTTTGTGGCTGCAACTTTGTCAAAAGTTGAATTAATATGTATGTATTCATACTAAAGCACTAAAAACTTGATATAATGATCTCATAAATTAATAATATTTATCAAATGTAGTCACACACAACTGCTTTTAGGGAAAAGTGGGCGTGGCACTTTTTGGTACTTGTGTAATTGTTGCAGCATTAAATGAAAAATACTTATTACACTAACAACAATTGACATTTAATTAGCATCTACTAACATTGTGTAACATTGTAGTATGTTCATTATCATTATTAGATACTTTAAATATTTTATATAAGTGTTATCATGACCCTTCCCTATCATAGGTCATTAATGGTCAAATTAACTTTTAAGTCCTAGAGGTCCTTAGTCTTTTTAGCTTGTCAAAGTCGTATTCATTGACTTGAAGCTAGAATATAAATAGTTTCATTGATCAAGAGCTATGAGTTAAAATTTATTAATACATTTGTCAGGGTTAGAGCCATTTTATGCAATTGGAAAGTAATGGACCGACACTGATCAGTACCAAGTGAAGGTAACGGCCGTAACCTTCGCATCTAAGATGGCGGACAGTAATTGTCGATTTTGATATTTTTAATTTTCATTGAATTAAACTACTTTAGAGTTGATGTTATGTTTTGACATTTGCACCAAATCAGGCTTAAATGACATAGATGTAGTAAACATGAATAAACGATATGTGAAATGTTATGCCCTGCCTTAATACATAACTAAGATTTTCTCGGATAAATGGTGTCTTGCAATTGACTAACTGATTCTATTATCAACATCAGGTAATGCATGATCTATCCAATGGATTAATGAAAATACTTGATTCCAATATGGCAAAATAAATTATTCCATGTATGAATTGCATAGTGCATCATTTTGCAGATATTACATAATGCATTCATTGACTCATGGTCAACAAGGTACGGGTAAAACTCCTTTTAGTATTTCACAAAATAATGAAATATAAACAATTTACACATTTCTGAAATGCTGTACCTTTAGTGATTCCTTCAACCTGGAAAGTGGTTTGTTATGTTAAAACTTAAAATAATATCTAAACAAATCTGTTTAGTGTATAAAAACAATAAAAGTTAATATGTTTAATATCAAATATTATTAGACATATGAATATAACCTAAAATAAGAAATCTTGTTCTCGTATTCCATTTTAAAATTGGTTGAATGATTTTGGCACAGTAGAAATGATGGTCATGATTAAATATTATATGTAATATGCCCTGATGCTGTAACATCAATGGCCCTTTATAATCAGGTATGACTGAAATACTGGACAAGATCTTATAAGGTTACAGTTTCCATATAACGTATGTTCCATATTACTACCCAAAATCTCCATTGTGTAAGTTTATGAGTCATTATCCCTCATAGGTTATTATGGCAAATGCCTATCCTTGTCTAGAATATGTCATTTTATCAATTTTATAAACAAGTATACAATTACACGCCCCCCCCCCCCCCCCTCCCACACCAAAACTCCATTTTCTTTATCAAATCTTTCTACCTCTATCTGTTATGATTCTCTGTCAGGCTTCCCCAATTTTCCATACTGTCAAGTAAACATCTAAATAGGATAGTTCTAGCTATTGCTGTTGTTTTGAAATGTTGACTTTTCTTGGGGAAATATTGTTTCAATTCTGACAGAAGTTTTTAGCCAATATCATTCAATTTATCAATATCCAAACGCAGGGTTTCAGAAAGTATGCATTTTGTTTGTGCCTGTATTTTCATCATGTGTACTTATTAAGACAGCTATATTTAAACGTAAATACATTAAAACATGATACATATAATCTTTTGACAATTTCTTCAGTAAAGTGGCCATTTTGAAAAATGATATATAGCTTGTACCTTTGTTTGATGCTCAACAAGATGTTCGACTGGATTTGCCTTTGTCTAATTCATATACAAAATACGAGAATATACTAAATACGAGAATCAGAATCTTATTCTACAAAACGGGTGTTCATGGAAGTAGCACTAATTATTGCACCATTGCTATAAATCGTGTGATTTGATTGGCTAATTCAGAACCATGTGACTAAAAATACCAGCGTATTTCACAGCTCACTGAATTATTTCCATATTTAAAAGACGTATTGTCCAGCGTATTGCCCGCCTGGGGATTCTGACAACTGCACTTTCAATGATTTTTGCAACATGTATTACCATCGCCCTACGGGCTGCGGGCAATACATATTGCAAAAATCATTGAAAGATGAACAGGTATTGCCCTCCATAGAATGAAATATTTGCTTAACATTTCTTACTGTTTCGGGCTTAATATCAATTTTGTTATAAACTGAACAAAGCAGCACCTTTAACATGCAGCTAATTCTCCCATCTAACCAAGAGAGCCTCTTTTAATATATCGAAATTTAAAAATTGCCTCTGATTCAATTTGTTCAATCAAATCTAAAATGGTAATACCTTTTTACTGCTTCGAACTTCCTTATATTTTATACCATTGGGGTAGGATGTTTGTCTCTTTCAATTAATGCTTTCACCAGAAACATGGATATCACTAATTTTGATTCATATTTAAAATGGTGTGCATGAATAGACCTGTATATTTTATACCAAATAGAGACACTTCCCTGGAGAGTTCTAAATCTCTATATGTTAACAGCCTAGTTCCCACATCCCTTGTTGACTTTGCTTCCATATTTCCTGTGAAGCCGTGGAACAGTTCTCTTGTTCTTTACAATTTTCCATTTTAATGTAACTCAATGAATAAGGCCAATTCATATCACTGGCTTCCCCAGGTCATTTGAATTCCTTGCAATTTTTAAATCAGCAATAAAGAATAATGGGTTAAATTATCAAATAATGAAAAAGTTGCAAATTATGAGATTTGTTATATAGCTTCGAAATCTTGCTGAAGTGTAGTTTAACTATAGGTTAACAGGCTAAATTCTCATTGAGATAATTTTAAAGAATCTTAAACATTGACTTATTGTTTCAGTGGTCCTATTAAAGTTCATGTGTACACAATCTGAACAACATCCAGTTTCAAACACTTCTGATTATCATCAAGTTTCAAACACAATCTGAACATCATCAAATTCAATGCAAATGCAGTTTTACTTTAATCCAACAGAACGAATATGGTAAATCAATAGACTAAGTGACACATGTCAAGTCAATGGTAAATACTTGTATCTAGCCCAACTAGCACAAGTGTTGCCATCTACCGACTAGTATCAATCCATCTATCCATATACATAGCACCTAATGAGGTCACGACTTCAAGTAAAGCTTTTTCCCTTGTCTATGGTAAAAAATAAGTTAAACAGAAAAGTTAGTTTGACACCATTGGTGATGCCCACCTTGTATGGTATAGGGATAAAAGGAAAGTTCATGATAACACTTACATAAAATAATTTAAGTATCCAATAATGATAATGAACATACCTATTACAATGTTACACAATGTTAGTAAATGATAATTAAATGTCAATTATTGTTAGTGTAATATGTATTTTTTGCTTAATGCTGCAACAATTACACAAGTTCCAAAAAGTGCCACGCCCACTTTTCCCTAAAAGTAGTTGTGTGTGACTATATTTGATAGATATTATTGATTTATTGGAGCATTATATCAACTTTTTAGTGCTTTAGTGTGAATATATACATATTTATACAACTTTTGACAAAGTTGCAGCCACAAAATCCAAACAAATTTGCAAATATTTCACTTTGAGGGCTAAGGGACATATTTTGGAGGAGGTCAAATTGAGAAGATTTTGAGATATAAGTACTGTTTCCATGGTAACCATATAAGTTAGAGATTGGACATTTCTGGCACTGACTAAACATTGTATGCTCTGCCTACTATAAAACTATGAATATATGACATGCATTAGTATTCTTTTTATCAGGTGGTATTAAAGTACCCCCAAGGTTTTCTTAGGGTGGGGGTATGAATTGGCCTGAGGGCCGTCTGCCACCCCTACATGAAGTCCAACTACCCAGAAAGTGCCTAGCATAATCATACAGACTGTTTGAAATATGTTGGAATGTGTGACCTTCCATGAAAAATGGAAGTTGCAATTATCAGAGTAGTCCACAGTCTATTAGGTATTACTCACGTTTTTACGATGTTCTTTTCCACAAATGATTCTTCATGAATATGATACTATTTGTAGCCTCAAGTATATTATATTTAGTCTTTTATCGAAGATTTACTACGGATAACAAGATAATTTTTCAATTTTTCAATTTTTGAGCATGCGCAGTATATATTAGTGACCAGTGGAGAAACTTGAATATTCCAGTCTAACTGGAAGAATCAGCTTAAACTGACATATGTTTCATTTATTACAGCAAATAAGAATGAACAACAGTGACATCTGCTTTTAAGATGGATGTGTTGCGACCAAGTTTGATTAGAATAGGAGGGAGATGTTATAGGAAGAACCCCACCAGACACAGTTCAGGGCAGGGTACTGAAGATATTGGGGCTTACAGGGAGGAGGATGAATACCCAGGTAACTCTTTTTGGGTCGTCTAGTATGAGGAATGTGTCTACATCTTGTTTTTTTGATGGAGTCTTTGTATCCAATCAAAATGTACATGTATACTCCCTTATAAAAAAGTCAACCTTGAAAGTCCGAATTTCAACCATTTCCATCAATCATTGAATACTGAATACTGAACCCCTGCAACCATCCTGACTTAGTATTGTTCCAAAAGAATTATCATTTTACCTGAATTAAAATTATCTTTAAGTAAGGATTTGAATCCACCTCTACAGGGTTCGTACACACCTGGAAATGTCAGGGAAATTGATTTATTTTTCCAGGTGCTGGAAATGTCAGGGAATTTTAAAATTGGGTCAAAAAGGGCCAAAAATGTCAGGGAATTTTGAAACAGTAGATGTGTCAGGGAAATGTCAGGGAATTTTGTATCATTGATGAAAAAATAATGTTCCAGCAAAATATATTTTAGGGCTATGACAGGATATCAGTGAAATCCAAAATCATTTAGTTGTTTCCACAAATTGCAAATCTTTTCATTAGGGTTGATTGAATGACATTAGATCTGGTATTGTCTATTTGTAAGAACAGTGTGAATTTTATACTGAAACCAAACAATAAAAATAATGTATAGATGATTTAATACAATTATGCTTTTCCATGTAGTAAGCTTAGTCTTAGGCCATTCAAAGTTAATTACTGGTATATGTTTCATGGTTTGTTGAGGGGTTAATCTAAGGGCGGGGGAGGTGAAAAACAAAAAAAATTCTGGGAGCTCTTTACAGTGTAAAATTGTATTTTTATTAAGAAGCTGTCTGTTCGACGTCCGGTTGAATGTCAGTCTTTTTAACTTTCAGGGGCTTTGCCAATTTTGAAAACCTTAGCACATGGAAGTAGGCAACCAAAATGTGTGTGGGGTACTATTAACAGTTTTTGAATTTTGTCCAAATTTTTCTTCGTGTAAAGATGAACCCAGCATTTACTTTGGCTCAAATTTTGTATGATGTAGCCTTAGGGACAAAGGACCTGCTCAAGAAGAAATATTCAAGATGGTCTCTGAATTCAAAATTGCCACCATTTTTTATGAAATCTTTGATCATTTAAATTTGATTCCTGATAACACAAATACCGATTATTTGATTTGGTATCATAGGCCTGAGCCTTATCGTGATGCTACTTGAGAATGGTGTCAATTGTTTTGGTGTAATTTTCCCAAAAGGGAGAAGACAATAGTAATGCCAGGTTATTGCTATTATATAATGTTCACAATGATAGTATTCAATAAAATATGTTTCATTAGGTGGGAATTGCCCCTCAAGTGAGTTGCTATTTTTCTAGTAGGATTTAGATCAAAATTTTAAAGTTTTAGTTGTCATTTGGATTCATTACAAAACATTAACAAATTATAGTTTGAAATGCTTAGAATGCACCATATACATTGTACAATGTCAATTTTAAAAAATTTCTGGGGGTGAACCTCCGTACCCCCCCCCCCCCCCTTTTTTTGCTCGTAGTGATGCAAACCAAAAAAATTACACCCTCTTGACACTTGCTGGCTTCACCCCTATACATGTATGTTTACCTTTGGCCTTATGCAATGTAAAATATGTAATATTAAAAATATAATGTATCAGGAATAAATTGGTGAATCAGATGGCCTGTACAAGTAAAGTTAAGTCATGAGAAATGGTACTGAAGGAGAAACCCAAAATGTTTCATATTAAGTCTTTTTGTCTTGAATAACAGTATGTTGAGACTTTTTAGAGGCCGTGCGAGGAAAATTAGATCTGGAAATTTCCTTTTCTGCCTGGAAATGTCAGGGAATTGTCAGGGAAATTCATTTTGAAAAAGGTGTACGAACCCTGCTCTATTCAACAACAGTTTATTAGGATATTTTTTCTGCAAGCATACATGAACATGCATGTTTATTATAATAAATTACTAAATTCATGTTCATATATTTCTTTCTCCAGTACAAATTTAGGAATGCGATACCAGACTAGTTTTCCACTCAATGGCATATGATAATTTATGTTCTCTGTCATTTACATTATTTACACAATTAAAAGTACCATTTTTAGTGTTTATTTCCCTTTATCTGAGATTTCCAAAATGATGTATCTTTGATGTTAATTATGAAAAGAATTGAGCAAAATTCCAATTTGGTTAAGAAATTGACCAAGGAAAATCTTAAGATTTCCTTTAAACTTAACAAAATCACAAGATGAGACACAATGGTTTTTGTTCATGATCAGACTGATATATGATCAAAAGATGCAGGATATGATGTACAAAATAATACAAACATATGTAATCTCAAGTTGATTGCTTTATTTAGTGAAAATGTTTTTATAGTAATAATGCATTCAGGCAGCAAAGACTTAATTTTCACAGTTTCAATTGGAAAACATTTGAATTAATAATTTCAGTAAAATTTTGTCAAGGTAGATGAATTATTGCTACACCCATGATATACAAATACAAATCAGATTGGTATGGAATCATACTGATATCGGAGGGTTTAGCTTAGGACCCCCGCAAAAGTTTATATACAATGAACAGGCCAGTAGCCAGCCCCCCCCCCAGTAAAATGGGTCTTCAATTGATCCATATTTGTGTAGTTAACACCTAACAACAAGTGTATGACTCACTAAAATTTAAAAAATACACATAGAAGAACTATTTTGATATTGACTGTATATTATGTGTGAAACACATTATTCACAACAGATTTAATTACCATGTTCTTTCATGGCCAATATGTTTTATAATAATGCTCAACATAACAATACTGTACCTACTACATATTAATATTCTTATGGGTTTAGGCAAATCAAAATGCTTGAACAGCCAATTAAAATGGTTGAATGGCTAATTAAAACGGTTGAACAGCTAATTAAAACGGTTGAATGGCTAATTAAAATGCTTGACCAGAAATAGGGTTCATAGTCCTAGTTTCTGTTATATTTATTTTTATTCTCTATTTCATGCAGAGGGGGCGTGGGAAATTTAAAACATGGGCTTTCAACTGTGTTTTCAGATTTTTGAGGGTTTATTTCTATATTCAATTACTTTAATAAGTGCTGAGAAATCTCAAACAGCAAGTATATGAACTGCAAATAATATTTTCAGAATTTTTTATTTCATTTTTATTTAGTTTGTTTTACCATTGCCATTCAATAGATTGAAAGTCCATAGTTTTACTGTTTTCACCAGGGCAGAGCATTTGTACTGAAAAGTGTTGTCAGTTTAAATAATATGTGTCAATGATTAAAAAAAACAAAAACAGGGCTTATTTTTCAAAACTCTAAACTTGAAAAAATCTGGAGGAAAATATGGGAGATTTTCTTTGTTAAATTATTTATCAAGTTCTGTGTATGGAATAATTAAATTACATAGGATGCTTCCTTTATAGCAGACGCTAATCAAACTGAAAGTCTCTCTGTAATAAGATTTGTTTTGCCTTGCAGAATTATTTTTGTTTTGTTTATGAATTAATGGATTAATACAGTATCTTTAGACACATCCTTCAAAGCAGACTCTAATCAAACTAGAGAGACAGAGTCTTACTATAATCAGAGTTTTTTAAGTTATGCTTATCAACTTAATTATTTAAAACACATCCTGTAATGTCTGATCACATTCTCTTTATGAAATCAAAAATATCAAATCAATAAACAGATTATTTTCTGATTGAAGGATTTCTTCCTTCCAGACACATCTTCCTTCCTTTATAATTGTGATGATTACAAGGTGAAGTATAAGTGTCTGAATTTGTAAAATTCAAGACTTGACCCAATCAAAAGTATTTCAAATGTTTTTGCAATAACTTAAAAAGTAGTGAAGGGATTTTGTAAAAATGATAGTCATGACAGCAAGGAGCTTTGCTATGCCTTAGCATTGCTGTTATCTGGATAATATACATGTGAGTGGGACAATCACCATCCTTCAAAGTTAGATAGATATTGGTTCAATATATTTTCATTCACAAGACAAGTTTACTAAACTATATCAATACTTTAAATATCTTTTCGATCAAACCATTTAAATTCTGACATGTATGCATGAAATACATACATTTGAAATATATATTTTAAAGAGCAATATAATTATTTTATGTTGTATTGAGATAATATTGCCATAGTTTTGAAGGGTTGTGTTCGATTGAAACGGTTGCAAGAAATGCAATCAAAATTGTCAAGCGATTACAATGGTTACATATGATTGAAACATTTTCAATGAGTTTACAACCAAAATTGTAATGGTTGCATCGTAACGGTTGGCATGGTTGCATAAATGATCGGATCAATGATTGTACAATGATTGTGCAATGGTTTAAATTCGGACTTTCAAGGTTGAATTTTTTATAAGTAAAATAGTATGATATCAGAAAATCATTCCATCATATTTTCTGCCTTTAAATCTTATTAGATTCATGCATGTTGTCCATTTTATGGTCTACATTATTTATATGAACATGTATATGTAAATTTGTCCCTTTGCTTACGCTATTTACATTTATGTATTTCAAATGTTCACCCTTGTTCAATGTATGATGTCCAATTTATATTCTACATTATCTATACATGTATGAATCTATAATGTTGTCCTTTGTTTATTGTACATTTGGTTATATGCATTCCAATTGTGGTCCTTTGTACGTTGTCATTTACTTGTGTGTTGCCGCTTGACTTTATAAGAGGTTCAACCAAATTTGGTTTCAGAAGAAGCAAGGCCATGGTTGGAGGAATCATGCGCTTTAGACACTGCAGATATACAACAGACAGACCGTGGCTATAGCACAACTCTACAGGTCCCTAATGAATTCTTCAAGTTTATAATTGGTAAGATTCATGTTCTAGATGAAGTTTTTATGGATGGCACACACAGATTTTGGAATAAACACAAAATAATAGAATTAAATGGCTGTAGAGTGAAACAGAAAATGTACTTGCCTTTGTTGTCCTATTTCTTGAGATGAGTATGAAAATGTAAGTAGTCTGAACATTGTAATCAGTTGTACATTTTTAATAAACATTTGTAAACAAATCATCATCTCCAATCCCCAAGTCAATACTTCAAGTTTATTAATAGTAAAGTCCATTTTTGGAATTGATGCAAACTCATTTTGGAGTCAACACAAATATGATAAATGGGTGTGGAGTTGAAATAATGGAAATTGTGTCTTTTCAGTCGAAATGTTGATACATGCACAGACCTCTATTTAGTGATATTTTCATTTCAAATATGGCGGCCAATCCGATGTCTGACGACCCTTACAAAGAATCTAGGCAGTTTGCATTTTTACCTCCTGTGAAATAACAAGTGGAATTTAGTAGTTGTTTTGTGTTTTATTATCATTCTGCATCGTAATTCTATGTGATGTGGTGTTGAAATGTCAGCAGAAATACATATCCATACGATAATCGAGTGAATCAGATAACAGATTTTTCGAAAACCCGTCTCGTGCTAAGAGTGTAAAAAGTTGTATTAACATGCTCAAAAGTGCCAATGTGCACATCAATGTCAAGCTAAATCAATGTTGTGTCTAAAACAGGTACCTGATCTACTCAAAACAGCTTGTCATTCACGTGTACACGCTTAGCAAACACGTCGAAATGACCTGAATCTTGGAATTTCGTTCGAGAGCTAGTAATGTTTGCTCCGGTCTTCGTCATAAGTGTTCATCAGACTTCACGCATGCGCAGGAGTAAAACCATTAACCAATAACGTTTATAAATCAATTTTTCGCATGCGCCTTACAACGGTAAAGAAATTCGTATTTATAAACGAACCAGTTTGAGATAACCCGATATCAGTCAAAGAAATCTGACGATCTACGAAACTCACTTCAAAAAATCAAATGCGGACTGACGGCGTATTCTACTATGTTTGGATCTAAGATTTTCAGTATAGATAAAGTCTTTTATGATCTTTCGAATGATGTAAGTCTCTAGTTCGAAAGACAATCGTATCAACTTGAACAAAAGTTGAGTTTTGACGAAAATTTTTAACATGCGCAGAAGTCCCATTTTCGTTGTACCATATTGACTGTTTTGAAGTATTTTATAGAAAACTTACTAATGAAAAATCGCTCACTCTAAAGGCTTATTCTATAAAATATAGAGCTGACCCTATTTTATTGCATAATCATTCCAACTTTATACATGTACCAGTATGTTTGAATTTTAAGGTAGGAAAGGAGAGACAAAGCGTCAGATTGAGAATGAAACAAGAACAATCATAAGGATTCCACGTCAAGGCCAAGAAGGAGATATAGGTAAAATAATTTGAGGATTTCTCTTTTATTAATGTCCTGTTAAAGTTGCATGAAAGGTGTGGCTTGGAAAATAAAGAATTAAATTTTGAATGTTTTATATGGAATTAAATGTCCTTATATTAGTTATATTACTTGTGTGTCTTATATGTTTTTGTTCATCTATGTTCATTCATGTTAAACTTCATTTGCAACACAATGTAGGCTTATCAGAGATACATGTAAAAGGGTATACTGTAATCTTGTTGTTATCAAATGGTGACATTTACTTCTTTTAATCTCCCGATTTAATTTAGTATGCCCTTTGTGGCTTTAATTCTGATCTAGTTATATTGGATTTTTATAGCATGTACATTTTATATTATGGTGAAATGTATAGACAATAGAGTGACTGAAAGGTACATGTATATCCTTTTTTTAATGGCAGTTCAGTCTTCAATCTGGCTAATGGCTTATGAATTATATATTAGACCTGCCCTACTACATGTATTAGTATGTACATTGATATGCTTAAGTTTGTAATTTTTACAGTGATAGAAGGGAAGAAAAAATGTGAAGTTCTCTCAGCAAAAAGTCGCATTGAAATCAAAGTAGACACAGCGAGACAGAAGCAGCCGTTCACCCACTTTCTGTCCTTTCCGTGTAATGGTTCATCCATTGGGGACTCTTTCGAAGACTTCAAGTCTGATGTGTTGAGAGAGTTAGGCGGGGTAGGTTCTTCAATAATATTTATAAAATCTCACTGTTGTAAATTCTTGCAAATGTTAAAGATGCATTATGTCATAGGTTTCTCCCCCAGACAATCAATGATGTCCTATTATAATTGCTCATATGATAAATATCTCACATACCATGTTCTTGAGAATAACTTTTGGGTATCTTATTGCCAAAATATCAGAAATAATCAACAGAACAACCAAACTCCAGAATTAAACACAATCGAGTCCTCGGCTAGCGAGGGTAATCCCATTGAGTCACACAAGCGCCCACAAGCGCCTTGAACCAGGCAGCCAATCAGGTTTATGATAAACAAATTCAACAACCATTCAGATAACAGGAGGACTTTCCCGGTATATTCAAACTTCCGATTTAATTAATTTCTTCGAAAATAATTAGATCGGCCAGCACAATCGCAAAATTAACACTGAACGAGGGAGATTTGGGACTTCTTCTTTGGTAAGTAGATGTGGTGAAACTCAATATGCAAAAAAGTCCAGAGGGGTCTTGATTGTGCTATCCTATGGCATAGAGCCTCTTTAAGGTAGTTGTGAAAGAAAACATTATGATTCAGTAGAGTTGAAATTTTTTTTAGTGAAAAATGTTGATTTTCAAGTGAATGGTGGAGAGAAAAGGGTTTCACCACAATGAAATTAACGTCAGTTTTTCCACAACAAAAATCTAAAATGAGAAGGATTTTAATGGTGGGAGAACCTTTCTATGCATGAACTATTGTTGTTTTTATGGAACATTGCTATAACATCATTAAATATATCAACACAATCATTTTTAATATTTTAGGATAGAGGGGTCGACAGATCTATCTTCCAAAACCCATATAAACTACATTTAACCCTTGGCACCCTGGTACTGTTAAACCAAGATGAGATAGAACGAGCAAATCAGATGCTTCAACAGTGCAATACAGATCTAGTAGAGTAAGGGTTAACAGTTTTATTATATTTTTAAGATTTGAAATACATGTAGAGATGGCTTTATTTAATAAAAAACTGGCCACCATCACATGGGAAAATTCTCAACTTTTTGTAATCCTGTAATTTTTACTAAAACCATGGGCATTCAACATGGTTTCTAAAAGTTCTAAATGCAAAAGTTGAAATGCAGTCATACATGAAAATCAGTGAGCAAATATTTTATAATGTAAATGTGATGAATTTTACATTAAAGTAAAGCAGATCTTCAAAAAAATTTGTTTTGTATATTAAATCATCAAAACATGTACCTCAGACATGTACATACCTGTACACGGAAATATAATTGTGTAACCCACAAAGCTATTCACATTCTTTTGAATTGTTGCTGTTTTTCATTTTTTCAGACCTATCTTACAAGGCAATCCTTTAACAGTGGATATTGAGGGACTTGAATACATGAATGATGACCCATGTAATGTCGATGTCCTTTATGCCAAAGTCCAACCTCATGATGGGACTGACAAGTAAGTTTTAAAAACCCCATCTGCATTTTGTATCGTAGTCAAAAATTGATTAAAAATATCTACAAATATTCTTTTGCCTGGAAATGACAAGAAGTCTCATTTAGAACAGGTTGTAGGAACCAGCTAGTGAATCAGGCACACCTGAGATCTGTATGTTAAAGGCTACGATCTTGATTACTCAAACTCAACTGATAACTAATCAACTAATATTTATGTTTTATACATTCTACATTGTTTATAACACTACCTTGTAAATACAAACTTTATTTTAAGACATTTATCTGCCATCAGTTGACTTTCAGTCAATTTTGATGTTTTCCTGCCAAGACTGTGATACCACCTATGATTGGAAGACTGTACGACACATATCAACTAAAATTTGACCAAGTAAATTTTAAAAAAAAACATTTTACTATCAGAAACAAGTCAAATTCTTTACTTCAGAGAATATTTTTAATTTATTGAGACTTTCGACTAATATCCCTTAGTCTTTTTCAAAATATAACAGCATGTATACATTTATGTGACGTCATAAACAGACAATGGAAAATTTAATTATGTAACAAATGACCTAGTAACCTAAAAAATAACAACAACAAAAAACATCGATACGAAAAAACGAATGACCTAATAATAACCTTAAGATAAATATATCATCGTTATGGTAACAATTAAACTCAAATATTACTATTGCATACTTTGCTATACCATTCTTAATTTACAATATTTTATGATACAAATTGTCCAACTGATACCCATTATCTCTGTTCATTTTAGGTTGCATTGTTTTTATATGAATTGCTTCCTTAACCCTACGTTTAAGATCATGACTCTCATTATCAATGATTTTTACATTGTTCCAGTTTATATTATGATCATATTCCATGGAATGTTCAATAACCGCAGAAGCAAGACCTCCAGTCGACAGTAATGTGGGTCTACGATGTTCTCTGATTCTAGTAACTAGTTCCCGCTTTGTTTCACCTACATAAGTGGCAATACAGTCTTTACAATCAATTTTGTAAATTACACCGGACTTCTTTTGATCATTAGTTTTGTCCTTTAAATGCACCAACTGTTTCTTGATAGTATTCTGCGATGAGAAACATACTCGGACACGATGCCTTTTAAAAATACGCCGTAACTGGTTGGAAATACTAGGGATATACGGAAGAACTGTAGTACACCTTATATCGTCATCATTTCTTGTTCTGTTTACATTATTTGTCGCATGTCTTTCACCTTCTTTAATCAGCCATTCCGGGTACCCACACTCCTTTAATGATCGGCAAACCAGTTCCTTTTCTTTCTTTAGAAAGGCTAGTAGATAAGTTTGTGTCCACTGGCTTAATGCAGAGACAGTATGATAGAGTTAAGTTACATATCACAGTCATGAATACACTTTTCCGGAAGGATCCTAACGCAGCTACAGAGCCATCTGATGGCAGATCTAGGAACCAAAGAACAATGTAAAAATCATTGATAATGAGAGTCATGATCTTAAACGTAGGGTTAAGGAAGCAATTCATATAAAAACAATGCAACCTAAAATGAACAGAGATAATGGGTATCAGTTGGACAATTTGTATCATAAAATATTGTAAATTAAGAATGGTATAGCAAAGTATGCAATAGTAATATTTGAGTTTAATTGTTACCATAACGATGATATATTTATCTTAAGGTTATTATTAGGTCATTCGTTTTTTCGTATCGATGTTTTTTGTTGTTGTTATTTTTTAGGTTACTAGGTCATTTGTTACATAATTAAATTTTCCATTGTCTGTTTATGACGTCACATAAATGTATACATGCTGTTATATTTTGAAAAAGACTAAGGGATATTAGTCGAAAGTCTCAATAAATTAAAAATATTCTCTGAAGTAAAGAATTTGACTTGTTTGTGATATATTAACCAGAGAGATGAACTTACATAGAACATTTTTACTGTTTCAGGTTACAAATTCTAGCAGATAGGCTAGTAGATAAGTTTGTGTCCACTGGCTTAATGCAGAGACAGTATGATAGAGTTAAGTTACATATCACAGTCATGAATACACTTTTCCGGAAGGATCCTAACGCAGCTACAGAGCCATCTGATGGCAGATCTAGGAACCAAAGACATGAAAGAGACCGTGAATCTTTTGACGCCAGTAATATATTAAAGGTTGGTTATATTCTATCCTGTGTTTTGTAATTTTAATTAATTAAAGGAATGCTTCATCATTTGTCACCAACAAGAAGTGGGCACTTATGTGAACTTCAATATTTGTGATCAGTATTCAGCAATATCAGTCGCAACAATTGTGACAGCTGTCACCACAATTTTATCACTCAGAATTTCCAAATTCTGCAATTTAATCAGGACAATTTTTCTAGGTTAATAGTATTTCCTTTCAGTTGGTTATTCATATTTGTAATGATTTTTGTATATATTTCCAGACTTATGGCGAACATAACTTTGGTGTGTACACAATAGACTCTCTTGATATCTCCCAGAGATACACCACTGCAGATGATGGATATTATGATCATGTTGGCAAAATCAGGATTAGTTAGCCCATAATGACCTCATGTGGGTTATATAATGCGGTGCTAGTATACAAATTGGATTTGACTGGAATCAAGCCATCATACTTGCATCATATATGCAAATATTCCAGATTGCTGCATAATTGCTCAGTTTTCCAAAAGTCAACTTTCAGTGAAACTTTCAGTGCAAACTTTGTATCCTGAGCATTTTATGAAACAGGAAATTTTGCTGTGATATCAAAATCGGAATTCTGGAGTGTGCTATAATGGTCTAAGTGGCAATTATGTAGAATATGGAAGGACATTGTAGATATCCATATGAGAGGGGACAGTTTTGGTATTTGGTATTGACTCGGCTGTTGGAGGCTTCCAGTAGTTGGCGTCTGCAACAAATGACAGGTTGTGACATTAAGCATGTTAATGCCTTGATTTAGATCGGGAGGAGGGATTCGTGTTTCTTAATTTATGTAACAACTGCCAGGCTTCCCTCTAATGTTAAAATTGTTGGTTTGATTGATGATTTTAGGACAAATAAATATCTGTCCGGCTGGAAGAAGAAAATTCATTTTGTGTTGATTCTAGGGTTAAAAGATGCTGATTGGTTAGAAAATTTTGTCCTAACATGTAAATGTAGGTATTTTGAAGTAATGGCGAAGGATTATTAAGATCTTTTTAGTCTCTTATTTATTTTTCCTTATTTGTCTAGAATATAATATTAATCTATTTCATGTTTGTTACAAAAGTATGTGAGCATTGTAAAGAACGTTAAACAGCGTATTAAATGTATACATCGTAGTTTGTATTTTTTTATTGCAATACATGTAGGATATCATAGAAATAGCGCTCGAATTTATGATTCAAATGTTCTTTTTCTATAACATTCGATATCTTCATATAACTATAAGGAATGTAAGTTTCCAACGATTCTGGTTTTGATCTCTTATTCAAGACATCAATGCCGATAATCTTGATCGATGACATAGCAGTAATTTCAATTCATTACCAATACAGCCATCGCATAGTTTAGTCCTTCCCATGATTTTTTACAACGTACGCTCATGTAAACCTCCAATCTCATTCTAACTTGACCGAAGTATTAGCGCCTTCATGGCTCTTATGCATTGTTATTCAAAAGAGGACCTTGTCTCTTATCATTGGATGTTAGTGCTTCCATTTCGTAATCTCTGTTGTCATATTCAGCTCTGAAATGAAAGAAGGTAATGACCCAGAATTCAAAGATGAATCTATCAGTCTATGTTCGTGTAAAGGTGAATCTAGATCACATAATCTCTTCTCTGTCGAAATAGAGGATTAATGAATCGCATGATGAAATATCACTTAAAGTTACCTAAATTAAGTGTTACCTTTATAATTACCAAATACGTGAATGAAGTGATGCTTTTAGAATTGCCGATTACCGAAATGAAGGGTTTCTTTTAAAAAGATCAAATACCTTTAATGAAATGTTACTCTAAAAAATTACTAATTACCTAAATGAAATGTTACTTTTGAAATAACCAATGACCTAAATGAAGCATTATTCATTAATGTGACGTCGTATTTTCAAATTGTTTTGACTTAATATTCAAAACTTGGTATATCAACTCACGTTCCAAATATTTCTGCCTCTTCTAGGGTATCAGGTAGCCTCTGTCCCTTAGTCTCAGGCAGGCATAGCACAAGCACTCCAACTACTACTGGCACAATGCCTAGAACTATGTAGGGTAAACCATACCAAATTTCACCCTGAATGGGACAAAGGCACAATCAGAGACAATGCAATAACATGTAGACGTCACCACCTGCCATTTTTTACAGACGTCAGAGACTTTTATGATGGTCTCAGCAAACGTCAACCACCGGACACCATCCACAAGAAAGTGACATAATAAAGTTACAATATTAGGGTCAGGGACACATATATTTAACCTACAGTGCATCAGTAATAGGTCTGATTCTGCCTCTAAATATATTTCTAAAGTACCAATTTATATACAAAGTTAAAACATCGGACGCATCATCCCATTTTTACCATACCTACATATTGGGGGTACATGCATGTACCCCCAATTACCTTTCGTATGTTGTACATGTACAGGGTGTTTCATATGTATGCACCCCCTCTAAATACATGTAGCATTGCCATCAGTATATATCATTTTGTTCCTCAAGGAAAGTTACATAAGATTCCAAAGTTTCAGAATCCAGGGGTGTCACTGACAAAAGATACAATGCATCAAAGGTCGTGGGTTCGGGTCATTTAGACGGCAATTTCTGGTCATTTTGAGGACAATTGAAAGGACAACTTTAGTTCCAATATTGCACATTTTTAGCTATTGTCACCATGGCAGAGCTAAGTCCACATGTCTGTCGCAGTCATGTACAAAGATGTACAGACAGGATTCATGCAGTGGCTTATAGGGAGGTCAGGAGTCATGGTAACACCTTTATCACTAAAATTGGATAGCAGACAAAGTGAACATATCACCGGACTGGCTTAAAAGTCCTTACAAAACTGCTTATAAATGAAACCTACCCACATATTTTGATGGATTATATCTTTTTTTTCAGGGACACCTCTTGATTCTGAAACTATCCAATTCTAGGTAACGTTTCATAGGAAACAAAATGATATATAACATGATAGGTTGGCAATGCTTTGTAGATGTATCTATGAGTTAAGAGGGGGTGCGCTACATATGAAACACCCTGTATAATGGTTGAGACTGTTCGTGATTCAGATCATATTACTAGTACTGTAAATTATGTATTTTATTCTTGTAGGACAAACTGCTATTTACTGTTAAAAAATAACAAGGTTACTTTAGTCCTACTCAGCTCGATTTATCATGGAAATTAATAACAAAATTGTGCTACCGTGTAATGATACTTTATGTTGAATATATTACCAATAATGGAAGTTGAGGTGTTATAAGGCCACCAAGTCTCCCGACGCTAGAACCACTCCCTATTCCGATAGTCCGTACCACCGTTGGAAACAGCTCACCCGCGTACAAATACACTAACGTCCATAGATTGGCTACCACTACTGATGCAATCAGGGCCAGGGCAGTCACAATACCGCTGATATCTGGAATAGATGGTCCGAATTAAAAAAAAACACTTAAGGGCTCATGGTACATAACAGGAAATGACAAAACAGAAAGTGACAAAACCATGCTGGATTTTAAACTTTTTTGAACCATAGTCTTGGTTGACCAGGATCACAATGTACATGGTCAGAATGACCCTGAACATGATGAAATAACTTTTTCAGCCATCTGAAAAATAGCTAAAAGTAGGACCTTAGGAAAGGTCACTGAACAAAATCTTTTAAATTTTTCAGAAAATGCGTCCAATATATTGCTTTAAATGATAGGAGCTTTGAAAATTTGATCTCATTCCTAAAAATGAAAAAAATGAATTTAAAAACGATCTGTTTTCCTTTTATGACCCCCATTTTTGTTTCGGACAATTTTTATTAAATTTCAAAGGTCGTATCATTTAAGCAATATATTGGGCACATTTTCTTAAAAAATCAAAATATTCTGTTCGGTGACCTTTCTGAAGCTCCTGCTTTGAGCTATTTTTCAGTCATATTTTCAGAGGGCTGAAAAGGTTATTTCATCATGTTGAGGGTCATTCTGACCATGTACATTATAAACCTGGTCATGTAAATGATATGCGGAACTAGTTATTTCTGACTGGAGGTCAAAACAGAACTCTGTTATCTTGGTTCAAAAAATGTTTAAAATCCAGCATGGTTTTGTCACTTCCTGTTTTGTCATTTCCCGTTGAGTACCATGAGATCTTAATACCATATATTGACCATCATCACTGATTTATTTAACTAGTCCTAGAGCAGTCACTATATCGTTTTATATATTCTTTATTTTCTTTTTCTAGAGGTCCTGTAAAATGTTGCAACTGGAAAACTAACTCAGTAGTAATACTGGGGCCATGGCCAGTACACTGACACCAGCGATAATGAGCCAGGCAGACACTACGACCCTTCTCTTCAGTTTGAATAGTGCAACATAACCAATCACCAAACTACCCACCTACAATGTAGAATATACATACCCGCTGTAAAGAAAAGAATTATACACTGTAATTCATTTCCTCTCTGGCTGAGATATCATTTTCCATAGATTATATTTTTTTATACCATTGTTATGCCCGTCTCAAATTCTTCATGACTGATCATGAGAGGTTTGATATAAACATTAACACTTTTGACAGAAAGTTATAGTAGTGCCAAAACCCATCAAAAGCATGATTTTTAGACGAATGTACCCCTTAAATAGGAGTAAAATTAAGGATGGGATGTAACCATTTTGCCCAATAAATGCATCTCATCTACACTAAATTTTCATACGCATAAGCTAATTATAGGATGAATAACATATTTGTGGGTGATTGAGAAAGACTAAGGGTTATAATTATCTTAACATTTCAAGTTTATTGTTGAAAATGTTATCCCTACCCCTAATTTTGAACTATCTCTGAATCTGAAGGATATTACCTCAAATAAGGTTCTAGTAATCACATTTCCATTCTATTAACTGTTATTTTTCACAATGTTTTGATAGAATGAAAACAATTTAATTTCATGTCTCACAAGATCTCCTAATTGAGCACATTGCTAGATATTGGGATTTCTCATATTTATGACGTCAATTTATGATAAAGAGTCACACTCACAATTTCGGAAGTAGTTATATTCAATCCTTTCTAACTTTTTACCATATGTACAATTCTTTGGAATTTTCTCCAATTGGTCAAAGTATACATACCTTATGCATCTGAATGTTTGGTATGACAATAATGAAAAAGATATGATTGATGCCCTTGCACCTTTTTTCTTTACAGAGGGTACACAGTTATGAGAAGATGGAAACTCTTGCTAGTGATTCAATTAGGTTTTCTCGACTGATTGCTTATTAATAATTCTGATTTTGGTGACATTGTCTCAATAGTTTTCAACAGTGTATGGTTGCTTTGAAGACCACAGCATACCTTATGTT